ACCCCAGGAGGCTCTAGAACAGCTCAGAAGTGCTTAAAGTGCGTCACTGGAAAGCGACTCTGAGGGCGAGTTCTCATGAGCGTAAGTTGACATTTCTGGCGTAATCACGTGAAAATATGGTGTAAATTGATTGGTAAAATATCCAACATGTCAAATATTTTTCAAATAAAACCCAACCATTTTATCACGTGATTACGCCAAAAATGTCAACTTACGCTCATGAGAATTCGCCCGAGGGCGAGTCCCGACGGGCATAATTGACATAAGCGTAACTAATCACGTGATTTAATTTGTGCGATTTCATTAGCGACAGTGCAGCGTGGTGCAGCCATCTTGAATTTTTGACATTACGCTACGCTGCCGCTACGGCAAAAAGTTGGGTGTTGAACTTTTCGGCGTAATCGTCACGAAGTTGTGACGTCCAGCAACAACTCTTTTTCAGATCTCGTTTTCATCTTCCTCTTCGCCTATTATGTTAATCAAAATTGAATAATATTTTTCATCATAAATATAAATTCTAAACTTCGTTTTCTAGTGCAAACAGCTGACAACTTGTTGATGACGTCGCAAATGGTGACACATAAATATGGCGGCGATTACCAAAAACGAGGCCGATAAGCAATCCTTAGTAGTGTGTATATTATCCTTGGGGTCAGCTTAGGTTTGTCGTCAAAGTGTAGAGAGTGCTTTGCACTCCACGGAGCAAAGTAGAGAGCGAACTCAGGGTACGTGCTCGATTGTAACCCGAATGTAAAAGAAAACACTCTGAGAGCTAAAACGAAGAGGGTCTTATCGTATCGAGCACGCTCTGACTTTACCAAGTTTAAAGCCAATTTCAGCCTTTGAAACCCTTATAATTAAAAAAATCATGTGAACAGTCACTGTAATGTGAACAAACCACAAGCTGGCAACATCGCGACCGTAACATTTTGCTTTTTTGGAATTCGGAAAGTGGCGGGAAAGTTTTAATTTCAAATAGTATATTACATTACTAGTGTAGAAAGTGACAAATTTCACACGAGTGTATGGAAGACGCTTTCTCACGAGTAATGTAGGTACATGATTTTTCCTACGACCAGAAACCGATTTACACCAATTTTCTCTTATTCCATATTTATTTTCATTTTCAACACACGTGCTGAAAGTACCCACGCATTGAAAGTTAATTTTTGAGTATGATTTTTTTCATGCATTTGAAATATTTTGACATTTTTTGTGAACAAATGCGTCACTGTATTTTCAATAATAATGTCAAAAGTAGTTTCCACACGTGTGCTGAAAGTAGGTACACTCATCATAATAATCTAGGGAACAAATAATATCTGTCTTTTACTTTTAAGACAAAACAGCTTTTTTTTAAGATAACGTAGGTTTTATTTATTCAACAAATCTTATCAAATTTTCCATATCGGCTTGTTTATGCAAGTTTGTTTAGTTTAAATATTTTATAATAAAATCAGGAAAAAATTTCTGATAAGTATAGATATTATCTTGTTCCCTAGACCATTTTGATGTGTGTACTTACAGGACGCAAAACGTATTGAAAGTACTTTCGGCACGCGTGTGATATTTAGCACTTTTCAAAGAGCCAACAAGTGCGGATTTTGTCATTTTCGTATGTGGTCGTAGGAAAATAGCTTTCCATGCAAAAAGTGTGTAATCTGAAACTTGAGAAATAACAATCTCACGAGTGAGAAAAGGGGCTTTACAAACATATATGTTACATACAATTTTTGCTATTTGCTACTAAAGTCTGTGTTTTTTTAAAGATAATTCCCCATGTCAAAAATGTAGTAACTATGTTGGCAACACAAGCCTTTTCTACATAAAAAATCGAAAGCATCGACAATTTTACATTGTATTATTGCCAACATAATGTCATTTTGACTTTTATCTTTAAACAAAAAAAAACAGATTTTACTAACAATGAAAAGCCATAAATTTTAAAAAAATTATCACAACTTTAGCCCTACTGTCTAAAGTAAAGTAGGTACCTACCTATGTAACTTCGAGTGTAACTTATTACTTCACAACCTACTGTAAAGTAAATACATACCTATCACATTTTAAATTCAAAAAAGGATAGCAAAGGCTTTTTCAATGTTAAATTTTATAGTTGAGTGTATTTATGCATTCTTGAAAAGAAACACAATAACAATTTATTCAACTTTTTTCTACTAGGTACCGTGCGTTAAGTAATTTTCTTTGCACACTAGTGCGTGAAGTAAACAAAAAACTTTAATAAATTGTACCTACCTATTAGGGTTTCTTGGCAAAAATGCATAAATATCCAAGTATAAAATTTGACATTATAAAAGCCATTGCTGCCCTTTTTTTGCATTAAAAATATGATTTTACTTTACACCTTCAATTGTGAAGTAAGGTATACTTTACGCTACCTATATATAAGGCGTAAAGTTAGGGTATATTTTTTTCAAATATATGGCATTATATTGTCGGTAGTAGAAAAAAATGTGTATGCAAGCACCTTTTTCAAGTTCACTCTGCACACTTTGTTGTTGCATAAATAGCAATTTTGAAATGTTATAATAAATTAATTTGTAATTTTCTTATTTGTTTCCTTTCCGTAAATAGGTATTTAATAATGGCCAGTTGAAATAAGCTAATACATTTTATTTTTAACCATATATGAAATGTTAACATTACTGACTTTTTAAAAATTTGAAAATGTCACATTTCTGTCTTTTCATTTTCCTGTTCCATTTCCCGCACCCTGGACGGGAAGTGAGGACGAGAAATTTTTTCCGTCCTCATTTCCCGTCCTACGACGGACAATGGAGTAGGAAAAAATTTCCCGTCCTAATTTCCCGTCGTCAATTCCCGACTTCATTTGGTTCGATTTGGTTGTCACGAATTTTTTTTTTTCAAGAAATCATGGTTAAAAATTAAATAGTATACAGACCTCGACGGGAAACTTCATTGCTGTCTCGAGGTTTAGTTCATCTCGACGCTACGCGTCTCGATAAACTATATATATAACCTCTTGACCAGCTATGATAAGCATTTCCCGTCTTGGATTGTAATATACTATTTATGTTTAAACAAGTGTTATTATGCTACATATTTCCTAGGCTCAAAATAACAGTTAGATATATTAACAACCCGCATCGTAACGCAAGATTCAAGTTGAAGTTCTCCGATTGATTTATAATCTGTAGTTATTTTGAAGTTCCTCACAACATTTGCAACAGTAGTTTTCATTTGCATCATCGATAGCCCTTCTACGATTAGTAGAGCAGACATTTCCACTCCCAGGATGTGCTCAGAGAATGCGCATGTAGATTTTGAAGATACTACAAAAACTTGCTCCTGCAAGGATTGCGTGTATTTGTATTTCTGTTAAGTCGCTATTTTCAAAAGATTATCTGCATCAGGCGTATTCAGTTTCAGCCACAGTATCCGATACACATTTTAACTTTGGCAATCACGCAGGTGACATATGAAATATCGTATTTCTACGAGCGTGCGCAAAGTAGTACTTTTCCGCACGCTTTTCCTCCGTTTTTATACAAACACCATTTGATTATTAATTTTTGTTATGGGATATGAAGCTCGTAGGAAAGATATTATTCCCAACACTTCGCAAAATCTCCTTCCCGCACTTGAAGTCTATCCGAACTCCGCTTTGCGTCGTTCGTCTAACTGCTTTGGCGTGCGAGAAAGTACTACTTTGGGCACTTGTTAGGAAATTAACTATGTATTTCCATTCTCAAATATATTAAAAATATGCTAAGAAATAGGTTAGGTGACGAGGAGGCTTGTATCTTTCAAGCTTATGAAGAGCCCATCCGTCCCTGAAAATCATCCAATATCCATAGGTGTCTGATTCCGATATAAATATTTTGAGATCGAGAAATCTTATATTGAGTCCATAGAATCCGTACCATCAGTACCAGATTATTTAAATAAATTTAAATAAAAAACTTCTAAAATGCCTTGCGTTTAGCCTGGGTATCTAAGTTTCCCATCTTCTAATTTTGAGCATAATTTCGATTGATAATTTTCTAAATACTTAAGACTAGGTCTTCGAAATCTTGTAGGTCTTTCCACTCGTCGAAGTTTCCACTTCTAATCTATACTTTATTTTTTCCCAAGATAGATTTTTGACATTGAAAACTTTGATACATAAACAATAACGCTTGACCCTGATTGGTCGCAAAATGAGGTAGTGTTTCTGCAGGTTGACATCAGTTTTACAATAGTGACCAATAAGCGGCATCAGCGGCATTGTTTATGTTTCAAAGTTGACAATGCCAAAATCTATCTTGGAAAAAAATAAACCATAGACTAGATTTTTACTGGATGATGGAATCTCTTCAGTCTTGTTATGTTATGTACACTTGGCTAATCATAAAACTGGTATAGGTACGCATTGTATTCCACAATAATTGAACACATGACTTTCTGAAGACTTTTATTAATTATAAAATAAGAAATATATACAATCAACGAATCAACGTGATTGCAGTGGCGTGTCCAGACTTTAACAGACGGGGAAGCTGTGGGGAAAGATGGTGAAAGTACAGGACAGGAGAGACTTATAATTTCAGAACCAGTCAGCCATTCACAAGTTTCATATATTTCTTTTTGAAAATGTCTGCATAAAGTTTAGTTTAGTGTTCTTAATAAATCCTCGAGGGGAAGCTGTGCTTCCCTAGCTTACATGGTAAACACGCCACTGCGTGATTGACTTGTCAAACTAAATTGAACTAAATTACTGACAACGTCAGCTTTTACAACAACACCTGCCAATATTAAAATGTCTTTTCAATAATCTAGTAGGTACACTACAAGTCTGATGTGATCTTCTTGGTGGTTCCTCAGTGTGAAAGTAGAGTGATATACTCTATACTCTCTTCTCTAAAGTTTGAGTTTCGCTTTCGCAAATGATGATCATCATCATCGATATTTACATCAAAGTTTCTTTTTTTTTCTTGTTATAGTTTGAAAATTATCTCTGAATTATCCCAAAACTATACCAGTGTAATAGTGTAAATTTGCTTCTGTATAAGTTCGGCTTCCTCTCCTAGTTGTTCATATTTGCTTCGTCTCACTTGTCTTCCAACAAAAATTGGTCCTGGATTAGCTAGCCAGCTTGGGTAGGTATATAGCTTTCCCAAACGTCGATTGTCTTGCATGACTGAATATGAGGAGAACAATTAATAGCTGTACAGAGGAAAGAGCTAAGGGTGCATTAAACTTCTCATAGTACTTCTGCTTCTCCCTATATGATGGATTAATTCAATGTAATAGACTTCAAAATTATTCCATTTCAGCGCCCTATTTGGCCATTAGGTACCTTCCGGACTATATGTAGTACTTCGACTATTGTAGCTATTCGTCTGATATGTAAGTATGATTTTATAGTCGGAGAGCCAGCGCCAGAAAAGTGCAAGAATTTCATGAAAGCTGAAAATTTAATTTAAGTTTGTATTTGTGATGTATAGAACTATACTCGAGTCAGCAAGTGAGGTAGCGGGACAAGCTACGCCCACGCACCTTTAAATGTGTAAAAAAATAATCGCGATGAAAGAGTTTCATGACAGCTGAAAATCTCTCAATCCATTGTTTATTTGATAAAAAACATGACGGACATGGTCAGCTAGCATTATATGTTAGGACAACTAGAGTCAGCATGCCTATACAGGGTGGTCCATTTAACTTGAGACAGTCTAATATCTAAAAAACGGTGCGTTTTTCGAAAAAAAATGTTCAAATAAAAGTTACATGGTATCATGGGGAAAACAAAATGGCGGCACTGATTTTCGACTTTAACAACGTTTTCAAGGTTATTTCAACGTCAACTCTTTTTTTTTTCAATAAAAATGTATTTTATTTGCAACAATATATGTAATCTTGACATTACTGACTTTTTAAAAATTTGGAAGTGTCACTTTACCTGGTGTCACTTCCCTCTTCGATTTCCCTATTCGACTTCCCTCACCGATTTCCCTCACTCGAATTTATTTACCTTTGCTGGCAACAATGAGAACATGTCAGGTAAAACCGTCAAAACAGTGAATGACACATTTTGGCATGTTTGTTTTATTTTTTTGATATTAAAAAAATTAAATGACTAATCATAAATAATGGTGTGCTTGCAAATAAAATAGTATACAAACCTCGGAGGAAAGTTTTCATTTCTGTCTCGAGATTAATAGACTATATAAATCTCTCGACAGTAATGAAACACTTCCCTACTCGGTATGTAATATACTATTTTTTATTCCGAGAATCTTATTCTACAGAGAGAAACAAGTAACTTTTACTTGAAGCATTTTTCGATCTGGTTTCAATTTAAGCTGTGATTTAAAAATTAAACACACAGTTTATCAAGAGGTTCCCACAACACCGGATGGAACACATAAGAAATGCTTAGAGCTGTCAGTAAAGAAACTGTAATTTGGTGCCATGAAAGCTTTTTACAGCGAATTGACAAGTGTGTTGAAGTTGGCGGTCGTCATTTTGATCAATTGTTATAGTTTTTGAGGTATTTTTGGTAACCTTCCTCTACTTTTCGATTTTGTGAGGAGGAAACAAAAAAATTATTCGTTCTTTTTTATCAGCTTAAATTAAAACCAGATCGAAAAATGCTTCAAATAAAAGTTATACTTGTTTTTTTCTGTAGAATAAGATTCTGTAATAAAAAAATATGTTTCCATTGAAAAAAGAAGAGTTGACCTTGAAATAACCTTGAAAACGTTGTCAAAGTCAAAAATTAGTACCGCCATTTTGTTTCCCCCATGATACCATGTCTGGATTATGGAGCCATAGAGTATATTAAGTCACGTTTTCAAAATTTTACAGGAGAGCAATTTTAAAGTTGGAAGTACGTGCGCTAATTAGGGTGACTGCGCTAGTTTGCCGACCACTACTAGTTCTCGACCACATTCACCTTTAATCAGGAATAAATAGTAAATATGCACTCGTTTTTGTCCAATAAATGCTGAAATGGCTGCCAGACAGGTTTCCCAACCTAAAATACCATTGAGATTTGATAGTTGGTAAACGGTTTCGCCTTCAAAATTCGTTTAAATAGTCGCTGACAAGGGGGTTGTTGTTTACGCGTTGTGTCTATAAAAAGTGTATGTGTGTTTGATGTAAAAAATAGTAAATAATGTTCTTCTTGAATGTAAGACTTTTCACTAATTGATTTTATGTTATAGTAGGTTAATTTTTCTATCGAATTTACGGATAAAATATAGTATGAAACAATTTTTTACATAAAATTTTTGTTGGTCGGGAACTAATATACAAAATATATCAGAATTTAGTTTACGACCGGGGTGGTCGAGAACTGAGTTTCAAGTGGTCCATTTTCAATTCATATAAAACTATTTAGAAAAGTCGTGATAACTTTCTATTTTTATTTGTTAGTTGAATATTGAATATAATTTTTGTTTTTTAGTTTACGACCACCACTTTTCCTTTAAATACTGCAAAGAAAATTGGATATAGATTTAGCAAAATTATGTGGTCGAGAAACTAGCTTATTATAGTCTATTTCTCGTCCACTGTAGTTTCAAGTGGTCGAACATCTAAATAATATGGATCTGATTTTCGACCAGCATGTTTTTCTTATGAGAAACTCTGGACGCCGAACCAACATAATTTTATTTAAATAATTTCTTCTTATCTAGTTTTCGTCCACATAATTTTTTTTAACTTCACTTACCTAAAGGAGAGAAAACCCCTAGTGCAATTTCTTCTGAAAAATGGAGAGATTACCTACTATAATAAAAAGAAAGACGAAATCCATAAAAAAAAGTAAGTAACCCGAAAAAAAGAAAAATGGAAAATGACAAAAGAAAATAATTTTAAAAAAAAGTTCAGAAAACTCTCAAAAAGAAAAAAAAAATAAAAATACTCAAAAACTTACCTCCAAATCTAAAGTATCCTCTTCATTATGCCAAGAAGATCTTTATAGTGACACAGAGGATGGAGATAAGAAAAACATCGGCTGTGACTTTTGTGAAAAATAGTTTCACAGAAAGTGTACCGAATTTGTTGATACTCCCTATGTAATTGCCGCCGTTCAAAGATTATAAATGTAGTCACTACTGCTAATTTAATTTCATCAAATCTAAACATTTCATATTTTTAGTTAATTTAAAATAGGGGTATGTAGGTAGGTACCATCGTCATTAAAAGTATCTGGGACACAAATAATGCATAATAATCTCCTGGACTAATTCTACTGTCATTCATTTCAATGCATTTAATTCATAGTTTGACAAATATTTGACAATAAAATTCATATAATAGGACAAGAGCTGAGGTGATGCTGTTCCAGTTACTTTTGATGACGATGGTACTTAGCCTGAAACTTTCTAGTTTTAGCAGTTCCATATTTGTAAATATTCCAATTTTAGTTTTAATAAGAACTTCCCTTTTGTAATGGATTTTTATTTATTTATTTTTATCTTTTGAGTTGTTTTGTTTTTATATATTTTTTTTTACGTTTTAGGCACTTGTCTTTATAGGTACTAGGTAGTACCTTATTAAAAGAGAATTTATTATTGTTTTTTTAATCCTATAAGTTTTTTCGAAGATATTAATCCGTTTATTCTCGTAAACTTATGTTCCTATTTTTTTTTTGTATAAGAAACTGCCCTTTAAGCTCGTATGACATCTGTGTATTTTTCTGTGAATTTATTCATGTAGTTCAGGGTGACAACCGAAAAACTTCAAACGCAACATAAATCAGCATTATGAAAAACAAAATAATGTTGGCACCCTGAACTACATGAAGAAATACACGGATAAATACACAGATGTAATACGGGCTTTAGAAAATAAAATTTTGTTTCATAATGCTAATTTTCTTTTTTACTACCTAGGTAGGATTTATTACAGCTTTTTACGCTTATTAAAAGGTGGTCGAAAACCAACCCAAAAATGGTCGGAAATTGCGACCAATGGTCGAGAACTAGCTAAATGGCACTTTTTTCATATTTTTATTAAAATTACACATTTCATGAAACAAAAATTAAAAACATATATAAAATATAAATTCGCAAATCTTCAGACTTTTAGAAAATCTTAGTTTTATTAATATATTTTAACTAGACATATTTTTATCGTGTTTTGAAGTGGAAGTTTCAGTTAACTGGTCGAAAACTAGCACACTGACCCTACTCATTTAACTATAGTAAATTGGTTAGATTGTTTTATATTTGCTTTCTAATGATATATAATGTAAATTTGAAAATGGAATAAGTTTATTTTGTGGAAATATAAATAAATTGTCTTTTTTTTCTTTATTTGGACTTAATATTGATTGGCCCTCGAAATGGACTTAATATATTACGACTTAATACCATATTTTGTGACTTAATTCTGTTTGGTCCTAGACAGATGAATTGTGAATTTTAATTTTTAGGAAAATCAAAGAGTTTTTTTTTACTTTCTCTTCTTCTTTTATTAGGAACTGGTTTTACAAAAATAACGTCAACACAGCAAAAAAAATCGAATACAGTTCATTTGTTATTGTTAACGATAGATATAATACTTTTATTTATTAAAAGAATAAGCAAAAAATAAGAGCCTTTATTCATCTTTAATGTTCTCATGAGGGATGTTTTTAAAAAAATCGTGAAATTTTGAAGGAACCCATCTCAATAATTTTTGCAAGTCCTTCCACTTTTTGGTAGAGATGGGCTTTAATTCATTTCTGATAGGTGGAAGTTGAAACTGGTCAAATTTTGTATTAGTTTTTGATGTACTGGCTTCAACCCGACGAGATACTCTTGTTTTTGCTGTCTTATTAAATTCAACCTCCTGAAAATTTTCTGCAACAAAACTTGATTTGAAATATAACACTCCAGGTTTATCAGATACAAACTTCATGTGAACTACTTTTGAAATCAAGAAAAATTTCACCTGTTGTGGTCTTTTTGTCGTTTTGAAAGGAAGATTTTATATTGTCGTATAAATAATTGAAATTTTTAAAATCCACAGTTTGCATTTCCTCCACCATTAAGTTTGAGTTGCACAGTCGCATAAGCTGTTGCCAGTCCCATGGGGTAATTATAGAAAAATCAGGGGAGGCTTTCATTTGTCTTTCTATTCTGGCATGTACGGAGTCCACCTCCATGTGGGTATGGCCTCTTAAAAGATATTTGTGTTCTACCGACTTCAATGATGGCTTTACCATCATTACATAAAAATAACTCATTAGCATTTGCAGATTTCTGTTTTGTGATGGGCAGTTATCACTCCAAATAATGATATTCTCGACAGACTCATCGAGAGTAAGAATGTATCTCAAAAGGCAAGACGCCATTTCATTGCCACCTCGGCCAGCTATTGACTCGTCCCAAACAAAACATGAAGAGGTTTTTTTTGTCGTGTTGTACACAGTATAGTTAAAGGTCCAAAGTTTTAAGCTGTAAAAGCTTTGAGCATTTTTGAGAAGCGGCGTAGGTAGGCATTTTTGTAAATCAACAGTTAGAACGTTGCAGTTTCTTACATTTTTTGATGCTTCCTTATCTTGCTTCTTCAGTTGGTATCGATTGTCTGCATCTGACAGGTGTGCATCATATTCATTCTGAGTGTCAATACGCGTTTCATTAGGCAAATTTTCTTTTAGTTTTATAATAAATTCATCACAGGCATCACATGTATCATTGTTTGGTTCCTTGAAAGACAAATTAAATTCAGTGTTAAAAATGTCAGCATAAAGCCATTTTTTAGGTATTTCTTCCCGAGGAATTTGGTTTCTACATTCTTCAAAAAACAGCTCGTACATTTTGGAAATATTAAGGTGACTTCCTAAGTACTTTTTTTGAGTTTTGTTCCTTGAGTAATGCGATTCGATACAAGGAAATTTGCTGATATGTTCTTTTATCATATTTCTCTCGTTGACTCCAATTTTATTCGATGGTTCGTGCTTCCCTCTTTGGTCGACCGTTACGAGTCCGCCTGACTGTCGTTTTTTTAATGCAAATCTAACAGATGTTTGGGATAAATTAAGAGTATTTAAGAAGTAAGTACGACAAACATTAACCTTCTTATTATTTACCGTAAAAAAGTAGTTAAGAGTAGATTTTCTTTTTCCGATACGCGAGCCTGTTCTAACGCGAACACGTTCAACTGGAACCTCTTCTATGCAGCTTGCAATAAACTGCCTCTTTTGGTTGATGTCTAAGTCTTTATTGTAAAACTGAGTATGGATAGATAAACGCTCATCAGTTGTTATCTTTTGTGTGCACTTTTCGGCAACCATCCTGACAGGTTTCCTTCATTTCCTTTTTTGGAATAATTTTATTCTTGCTGGACAAATACTCATGGCCAGCAGCTCTTTCCTTTTTCCTTATGTTTTTTTTCCATGCTTTATGGTTTCTTTTTCGCTTTCTACCTTTATTGTTTTGATTATTATCCATCTCTTCTTCATTATTTGTTTCGTTGTCCATCTCTTCTTCATTTGTTTCGTTGTTGCTAAGGGTGTCACTTTCTTCGTTTGGTTCGTAAAGGGGGTCGTCTAAGTCACTAGCGTTACTTAGCTCCTTTTCAGCTGATTGTATCTCTAAAGGATTTGTATGATCATTGCTTGATATGTCCTGATTTTTATTTCCATCGATTTCAGAATCTACAATGCTTTCCAGCAACAACTGCTCCTCTTCTGCAGTAGTTATTGCTAAAGCGTCTTCAAGAAGTTCTATGGAATCAGTTAGACAAGCTCCTTGTTCAGTCCCAGTGGCCAGAATTTTTATATTTTGATTCATAACATCCGTTCCGGATAGAGTTCCATGATTACCTCTGCTTCTGCATTTAGTTCAGGCGTGCTACCTGAAAACAAAAATAATAAATAAAAGTCTATCCTGAATGTGATAAAAATATTTTGATTCTTTTTTTGTTTTTGATTAACTTTTCTTACACTCACTATTTATTTGCCTGGTCTCTTCGTCAATTGATGACTTTTTCACCATTTTGATAATTTGCTGGCTAGTCTCCGCCGGCGGTGTTGTAACTTCATCAATTGTTGACTTTCTTATCATTTCCAAATTTTCCGTAGTTACAGCTGCCTCGTCTTTGTCTTCATCTGGATCTGGATAAGACTCCGTCTTAAGGTCTGTTCCCACAGGAGTCTCTGACAGTTAGCAAACTGTCAGAAACAATCGCTCAGCTGAGTTACAGATTTATCTTGTAACGACAGCATTGAAAACATGCATGGGCGATGCTTACCGACAGTTTGCAAACTGTCAGAGACTCCTGTGGGAACTGTCCTTTAGTGACCATTTCGATGACATTGTTACCTAAATATAATAATGTCATGTTTTCTACAACTATCTGTACAGAAAATATCGATTTTCATTTAATTTTTTTAACTTGAAATACGATCTATTACATAGTTACCTGAATCAAGACTTACCTGTACTTGTACGAGTAGCACGTTCAATCTGTGAAGGATTTCTGAGATGTTTCCGTGGCTTGGCTTTTAACAGATCCAAAATTTTTTGGCTTCGGCCAGACGCCATTTCAAAAATTATGCACAAACGACACACTTTTTTTCTTAAGTTGAATGATTGAGCTCGTTGTAACAACAAACGACCATAACAAAAACAGACCGGCACAAATAAAATCAGTATTAAGTCACACAACCTAACCTAGCATTTGGACATAATACCAGCGTACCGGACTTAATACTTTAAACAGTTTTATTTTTACAGAGCCAATCAGTATTAACATTACTTAGAACTGTTTGGTTCTGGTAAGAAAAGGACAAGATACTATTTTTATTCGGTTATAATAGAAAAGGATAGATATGTGACTTAATACTTATTTCAACTAGAAAAAGCGGAAAATTTTAAATAAGAATCACTCATAACCCTAAAATCTTAAAAACGTGGACTTAATACCATTTGGCTCTGAGGTCCAGATGTAAGTTTTATCTGAACTTTTTTTTTCAAAAACGCACCGTTTTCGAGATATTAGACTGTCTCAAGTTAAATGGACCACCCTGTATAGGCATGCTGACTCTAGTTGTCCTAACATATTGCTATCTGACCATGTCCGTCATGTTTTTTATCAAAAAAACAATGGATTGAGAGATTTTCAGCTGTCATGAAACTCTTTCATCGCGATTAATGTTTTACACATTCAAAGGTGCGTGGGCGTAGCTTATCCCGCTACCTCACTTGCTGACTCGAGTATAGTTATATACATCACAAATACAAGCTTATATTACATTTTCAGCTTTCATGAAACTCTTGCACTTTTTTGGCGCTGGCTCTCGGACTATTAATAGACATGAAACTTGATCCTTCTTGATCTGAATGAATGTTTATGTAAGTATTTCAAATGGTGAGAAAAGTTGATACAAAACAGTATCAGAACTAATCAGAAAGTCCATATCCAAACAAGCAAAAGCAAAAGTAGGTAACTCTGAAAAAATTGGGCGTACTAACGAGGATGAATCAAACTTAAGAATCATTAAACTGCCCGCAACTCCGGTACAGTCAAAAAACTGAATAGCATTGTGGAAGTTTCCTTTTACTACACAACGCATTCGCATTACTAAAGTGGACGCCTGGGAAGAAAGCGTCCAACAACATGAATCAACATTTATTTTACTCACAGAAATATGGCTTTATAAAGATCTTCTAGAGAACCTTTATGAATTTCCCTGGATACAGGTACTCTTTTCAGAAAATATCGACAAGGAAAAAAAAGCAGTGGGATTTGTGCGATATTAGAATTGTGTTGTCAACTATGGTAGGCTTATTATTAATGTATAGTTGCTATCAAAATGTTAACTCTCAGCCTTGTTTAGTACCTACACACAAGCTAATAGCAGTGGCCTGGTGTCGGCTTGGCAGTATATACCTAATAAGAATAATAATAACCAGTTATTTTTTAGTTAAATCTTGAATAGATTTAACTTAATTTAACTTACGAACGACAAGTTGTAGTGACCATCATTGTAGCATTTTTGTTTTCCTGTTATCTGAATTTATGTAAAATGCTACAATTTTGGAACCAAGGAGTGGAACATCCAATTTTGGTTTTAAAAATGTTCAATAATTAAATTAAATGAATCATAAATCATTGAAGTCATAATTTGTTCGTCTTGTTAACTTTCTGCAAGAGCCTAAAGGGATAGGGGGAGAAAGCAAAAGATGAGATAAATCCGAGGATGAATCGCTGATTGATTGTGGTATGAAAACTTACCTGGTGGGTATCTGTCCCAGAACCAATTGGGATTCCGCTATTGTGGAGCTTCTCTTGTTCGGCCATTTCCAAAATTTTCTATTTTTCCGTCAAAGTTGAATCCAATCCTGGTGTTTGGTCCATTTTAAATTGCGCCTGACCTTGTCAGCGTTTAGCGCATATTTTTGGTGGTTATCCGACCGCCTTGAACTTTGTTCCATGATTCGAATTCTTTGGTACCAGTGATCACGGAACTTTTGTCAAGAACTTAGAAAAATCTAAAGATCCGTCCATATTGCCGTTTTGATTTTGATCAAGATTTGTAGAAGTTGGCGTAGACCACAATACATTTTGTGAGCTCAGTAGATCCAGTTTCTATATTTATGGTTCTCGAGCGATTTTTTAAGTTATTTGGGATAGTTACTTCATGTAAGTTGCACGTGCTTCATGGTAAGAATTTTACATCTCTTAATTGTTTTTTATCTTTATAGATTCATTTCGATTGGCATTAAATTGCTGCTGATGTTCGCATCGGAATTTTCACTCCCTAATTTATTGGAGGGTCTTAATCCAAATTCAGAGTCAAGAACAAGAGAGAAATTTCTTAAGATTTTTGAGGAAAATCCAATTCGTGCAGATACCAATAACTGGTCCGAGTTATAGTTGGTCCACTTTACTTCCTACACGAATATATTCAGCCTCGGATTCGTCCAGAGCCCAATAAACCAGATTTTGGACTTTGGATACACAGACAATCACACACACAGACAACAGGTTTGCTAGAGATTAAGGCAGCTCCATGAAAAACCAAACACAAAAAAAAAAACGCTTCAAACTATAAATTTTCTTATATTCCTTATTTTTTGAAATATTGGTTTATTTATCAATGTTTAGGTATAATGCGAATGGCCGGTTTGGTATTTTTTTAGTTAATTATTGCGTATATCATTCAGGTCGGTACTTTCGAGAAAAAAACGATTTTAGAGGGCAGACTATGAAGCAATAAACAACCACTTGCAATCACATTTTGTCACAGGTAATGGAAACCTATACGGTGAAACCATGGCTAACTAGAAACTGTGTAACTAATAGGCTCTGACAAATGCTTTCTCTAATAGAACGTAAAACTCTTAGAGGTTTTCTATTCCCACAAAACTAGCATTTTGGCATCATTGTTTTTATCATAATGAATATCATCGTTCATTGATTGAGAATTATAAATTTCTAAATGTACTTTATCTGGAGCAAATTTGAGAACAGAACTTGTGATTCAGCTTCAAGCGATAGTCTTATGATTTATCAAAAGTCTTGGCCAAATTTGATGTTGGTACGTGGATTTCATTAATAAAGGCATCTCGAATAAATTCATCCCTAACTCACTTTGAAATTACAAATCTTGCCAACTTGTTTTAATGCTTGAGTCTTGAGGTATTGCTATTTGTGTATTGACAATTATTATATTGGGCAAATATTTCGTTTGCTCGATATAAATACATATCGTTCAGAATTTATATTACATTCTCATACAGAAAAATAGGTGAAATATATTCATAAGTTGAATGACTCACGTGAGCAATCAGAAGTTTCAGCTTATTTTCATCACACGTCATGTTTTATGGAAATTTTCAAATGTCCCAAGCCAATGTTTCTATTCTTATTCTGAGCAGGGCTTGGACAAGCATCAAATCTAATTGACTTCAGAAACTTGAAGTGTTTCAATGATTCCTTGAAAAATGTTTTATATCCAATTTCTTCAATTCCTGTTTTGAAATATGTGTTCAATATCATTGTCAGTGATTTGATTTTTTCAAAAATAGATTTATCTAGTGAATCTTTGGAAAATGAAATGCTATTGCACATTTCAAGTCTAACCTATGTAGTAATTACAGAAATTAGTTATTACTTTATCATCCAAGAAAGGTACGTACAATATTGGCATCTGTCATCTTATATATAGTAGGTACTTCTATATTCAAAAAAAGGAAGACAATTACCTTAGGCTTCATCAATATCATTTAGGTCAAATATTGAAAGAACTACATTTTCCAATATAAAAAATGTTTATTGGTACAGAAAAAAAAACTTAGGAAAAACTCAACTAATCACTGCCAGACATTAATAAAAGAAAAACAATTTCCTTGAGTTCGTAATTTTACAATAATTTCTTGTGTCTTGTGTCCCAACAAATAAGAAAAAAATACAGTCCTAATATTTAAAATCCATGAAAACTAACAAAAATACTTAAAATATAAGAAAGAAAAATAATAGGTACTCTTTCATTGTGAAACTTAAAACTAAATAGCTAAACCTTCTTCTTTCAAAATACCATGAATGCTGGGTAATTCAACAGAATAATTCATACGATTCTGAGTCTTTTTGCCAACTTTCATATTTATCTCCAGCAACTCACCATCCGGGATTAATTCCTTTAGTTGTTTCTCGACTGCGTCAGTTATTTCAAAACCTAAACAGAAAATTAACGTGAAGAATTTTTCTTAATCTGCATATGCCCAAAGATAATAATAATTCTCAAAAGTGAAGAAATATAGATCTGTACAATGTTGTTTCATGTATCTGTTTGCTCATACATTTAACAAAATTCCAATATTAACTCACTTACCTTCAATTTGAGCGTTTATTCCAAATATGGGAATACTCTTCATATTTTCTGGTAGTTTTCTGATATCTGCCCTATTAACTTTTTCAATGTTGCCATAGTCTACAAACTTAACTTCAACTTTTTCGTCATTATCACCAGTTGCCATGGCCCTGCACCAAGTACCTGCAATTTTAACGATAAAGTGCAATGAGAAATCTCAAATTCATTTTTTGAATTTTTTAGATCACATTAACTAATAATTAAATATGTATATTCTAACCATCATCATATTTAGCCAAACACATTTCAAACTGGGCTGGCTCGTATGGCTCATTGTCCCCTGGTTTCTCGACAGAGACCATTTCAATCAACTCTACATGTTTGGAACTTGTATCGATCACAGTCAGGGAAGCGCCATGATATGAATAACAGAAGTAGAGATTCACACCATCTTTAGGCTCATCAAATGGCATGTCTCTAAAGAAAGTTTTTACATCTGCAAAAGATATATTACATTTTTTTTTATTTTTACTTAATTTAAACAACCTACTTTCTTTATTTTTACCCACTGGTGCAGCTTTGACAGCTGTGAAAAAAAATTCATTAGATTGTAATACATAAAAATTAAAATGACATACGTTCTACAACTGTTGGCTCTTTGTGGCTGGGACTAGAAATTTCTGATTTTGGTTGTCTAAGTTGGGGGGTAATTTTCATTGATAATAATTCTCCATCAACCGTAAAATCTATTAGTCCATTTACTTCGGTCTGAAATGGAAACCTTTAAATTATAAATTGTACAGAGTATATTTAACTAACCGATTTGATTTTGGATTTGTTTCGGATAAATGAGCTCAATAATGTAAGTCCGTCATCTGTTAATTTTTTTAAGGGTAGATAGTTGATTTCAATTTGGGCTGGTGGCAAAGAAGCCAGATCTTCGTCAATGTTTCTTAATGATGTTAAAGGAAGTGTCTCCTCTAAAAAAAAATAATTAGAAAATTTAAATGTTTTACATAATTTACATACCAATGGAGAAATCAATCAGCTGCAACGATGCCAATTCGCCAATAATTTTCTTGATAATAGCTCTAAAAAGTCCATCTCCATGATCAAAACAGGTACACAATACATACTGGCCCACTTTTGGATTAGCTACGGCTACAAAAAAAATCAATAAAACTTTGAAAACAAATGTAGGTACACACACGTTTTTTCTCCATTGATGCCACATGTGTAATTATTTTTTTAGTGAGACTAGCCATTTCCTTGTTTTTTACAATCAGTTTATCATCAGTGTGGTTTACAATAAACACCATTTCGCCAGGTACAATTTCAACAGTAGGTTTCGCTATCTAAAATAAAATAAAATGAAAAAATCTGCTGGCTCGTGTATGATTTTCATACCTGCATAAAGCATTTGGCAGCAGGTGCAGGTTTGACATTCTCCTTGGGCTGGTTTTCAATCGGAGTCGTTTTTACTTCTTCATCAGATCCAATAATTCGTTTAATATCAACTAAATAAGTAGTTTCGTAACTGTCAAACTGAAACAGAACAAATCCATTTTTTTAAATTTCTGATGCAAAAATACTTTTGTTTGTTTGAGGGTGTAGGCCAGGTTGTACCAACCAATATACAGGGTGATCTATTATAAATGTCGACTCCTTCTAACTTTTTTATTTGACATTTTTGACAGAAGTGTCAAAGACAAAAGTTTCAAGAAATTGTCGAAAGTTTTTAACTGAGTCAGTTTTAGGCATACAGGGTGCGTCAAAAAAGTACAGCAGTGTGAAGTTATATTTTTTTAAATGGAACACCCTGTATATTGTGCGCTTATTTGTTAGTCCCTTTCAACTTGATTTCAACGATATATGGTTTGATACGTCTATCTTCAATAGTTATAGGGAAAAACATGAAAACCCCTTTCAAGTTTTCATATTGAAAAAAGAAATATCATACCATTAAAGCTTTAGAGAATTTTTTTTATAAACAGTTTATTGTTCAAATTTTATTCAATAATATACAAGGGGAAATATTATAGTAAATCTTGATGTCTAAGTTATTTTTAATATTTAAAAAAAAAAATAACATGAGAGATCTGAAGGGATTTTCGCGTTTTTCCCTTTAACTATTGGGTGACATTTATAATAGATCAACCAACCAACATTGAGAGGTTAAATTAACCTTGTAGAATGTCCCAATTTAAGGTTCCAGAGTTTTCAAATAAGATATTTACTTTACTATATGGAACAGACTTTATACAAAAATGCATAATTCCTAAGAAACTTTTTTTTTTAATTCTTACGTGTTTCAGAACTTCCACCTCTATGTCTTGATCAATCTCTAATTTTGAGACTTCTATAGTTGAGTTAGGTTGAGTTATAGTGAACCGGAAAGCTTGTGCGGGAACTTTCTGCATTTCTTCTGACATTTGTCGAATGTTGCCTTTGATTTCCTCTCTATTGCCATAATCCAATAGTTGGACGAGGGCAGAGCCTGGTAACCCGGATTCCCGGATAACCACACCTCGATACCTAAAATCAAATTTAATCAGTAATATGGATTATTGGTAAAAATTTCGCAAGTTAAACTAACATAATTTGCTTACCAAAGGTCCTCAAATTCTACAACAACTAACATATCCTTCAGGGGTTTTTCAATTAAAGGTAAGAGATTGTCTTTGGTATTGACGTGAAGCAATATGTCTTCGACTATATTGATATTTTTAAGTAATTGTGCATAGAAAATTTGTTTTTCAGTTAAGTAAGTGACTTTGAGCTAAAACAAACATTAAATATTACGATGGAAACTGGAAATGTAAGCATGATTTTTTAATAAATGTCAAATTTCCATTCTAGCTTGTTAGGACTTTTCTAAATTAATATATTTAATATCTACCTCATAAAATCCTTTGTCTAATTTTACCCTTCCGATTTGCGTAATGTTTTCAGTTTTTGGGACATTTGAAATTTGTGCCTTTGGTGATTCTATAAATTAAGTTTTAAATGTATACACAAGTAAATAACTTTCTCGAGACAACATACCTTGCTCGGGCCTATCAACTTTAGCAAAAGTACTTGGGGGTTTTACTCTTGTGGCACATTTTTGCTCAAAAGAGCTGGATAGTTCAGGCTGCTCATCTTTTGTAAAAATATTGGAGGGTTTGACTCTTGTAGCACATTTTTGTTCGAAAGAGCTGGATAATTCAGGCTGCTCAACTTTTGTAAAAATATTGGAGGATTTTTCTCGTGTAGCGGATATTTCCCTTTTAATGGATCTTTGTTCATGAAAACTGGGCACATATTCCTTTTGTTCAGCCTAAACAAACAATAGTATATTGTGTATTGAGGTGGAAAAGTGACACATTCTCGGCCGACGGTGTAAGTTGATGGGCAAGGCGTAGCCGAGGCCACCAAACACCGAACGCCAAGAATGTGCTTTTCCACTGAAATACACATACTATTTTTTCTGCGATCGGTTAAATACTTACTGTTAAACGTTTGTGTTTTGTTCCAATTGTTCAGCAGTACGAGAATTACTTTCCCGGCCTAGGCCGGAAAAGTGATTCCCGTATTGTTATTCATTGATTCCTTGGCAACTATTGAAACAATTAAAATACCAGAATATTGAGTTTGTTGGACGTTGATATTTCTTGTCAATCGCAGAAAAAATTTATAATAGAAATACAAAGGAGGGCCAGGCCAAGTAACAACATTTTCCTAATTTTGATGTGTCAATTGTAAATTTCCCATTATCTTTACACATTTTGAAAATAGTAAGCTAGAAACACCCGTGTTTTTCTGTGACCAGTTAGTTTTTAGTTTGTCAATGAGAAGTTGACAATTTGTCATTTGTTAATAATTCTTATTATGGAATGCTTGTATTTGCCTTTCACTTATTATTGGCGTAGCATTATCCATGGAAATTTGACAGGTTGACCCTCATATAATAATGACAATATATGTCAAATTCCAGAGAGTTTTAAGTGTGTTTCACATAATTTCGTAAGTGTCGCAGTATTGAAATTCTCTGGCCTATCTGGCCAATCAAATTTGACACATTTGTCAATATATTTTTCAATAGTGCAACATATAAACGGCACCTTACTATTCTGCATACCTGCAAAATCCATTGACATTATTCAAAATTCGGCATTGTCAAATTTATTTCATATTTAAGATGCCCAAAATAATTTCTCACGAGAAAATAAGGGAAATAATAAAATGTTACGGCTATTTCGAGAAAAGAGAGGTTCTTCAGGGAATAATAATTGGAGCCCAATTAGCAGATACATTTGGGGTAGGTATAGTTTAAATATAGATGTAAACCCATTTCTCATAACCAGCAACCAATATTTTTGTTGGACGAAACCCGAGAAAACAGTTACTGCGAAAACATATTTATGCTGTTAAGCTTATTGTTATGGTTACGTTGGATTTATTTTATTTCAAATAAATTTGATAATTTTAGTAAGTACCCATTTTTTTTTAAATTAATTTGGAAACATATTTTGGAATTGAATCTACTCAGATATTTCACACATTCTGGCAACTCGGCTTTCTGTTTTATAACCCTGAAATTTGAAAAATACACTGTCATCAACTGTCATTATTATACGAGGGCAACCTGTCAAATTTCCATGGATAATGCTAAGCCAATAATATCTGAAAAGCATACTTAAATTGCCGAATTCCCATTAAATCTTTTTCAAGTGAAAAGATCGCGTTTCTTCCAATTCACGGATTTATAAAATTAAAACAGAAAATAATACTGTTTGCTCAATAAGTAAATTATTGTTAATCCACACGAAAAGGAAAAGGAATTTACTTTAAAAGCGTGAATTAGGAGTAAAAAACTTGGACTAAAAGATAAATTTGGATACAAGGGAGTAGAAGAACAACAATAATTGATAAAAACTTCTTACCACATAAGAACCACTTGCTCTAAGTGGGGTTCTTTCTCTGCCAAGCCGCGGTCCTGCATAATCCGAACGAGATTCACGTTGGTTTCTGTCTCTAGAAGGGGCTTGGAATTCTTCTCTTCTGAAATTATTTTTCCTAAAAAATGTAATCCTCTCAATCACATTCACTTACCCATTGTGGTAATTATTGCTTCCAGTACGAGTTACAGAAGTTGATCTGAAAGGCATAATATTTAAATACTTGTTGATAAATTTGTAAATAAATTATTTAGGTACCTCCTTTCTCTCTGACCAGCTGATGGAGGAGTATTGGTTCGTGAAGATAATGGAGCATTGGTAGCTTGTAAACTTATGCGACGATTTTGTGCAGGATGATCTGCAGGCTTAGATTCGCCATTAAACAACTTAGACCTTACCCTTAAATTCAATTGAAAATAAAAATCTGCCACTCAACAATCATTGAAAATTACCTTTCATACATATCTATAATCGCTTCTTCGGTAAATATCCTATTTGCTTCAAGTAAACATTCCATGCCATAATGAAATATTTTAGCTTCAATTTCTTTAAGAACATCCCTGAAAAATATTATTTAAAAAAAAAAATGCCAAACTGAGACTAAACCATGTTCACTTACATGTCAGGAATCCTAGTAACATCATAATATTTCTTTTGAAAAAGCTTGAATCCAGCTTTTTCGATATCCTCCAAACGAACAAATATTTCTCCATCCTCTGTTTTCAAATACGATACAAGTTGTCCCTGGATATCAACTAAATCGCCCTTATAATAAACTGTTTCTTCCATTGCCTCCGAGTTGGTATGACTAACTGAAGAAGTACTAGAGCTACAATAAAACTAATCATTTTCTGGCTAGAATCAATCAGTTGGACTTACTTAAATTCGTCGTATGGGTTAGATTTTTTGGGCCTTCTTGAACCTGAAAACACTGTCCAACCGTTTACTCCGTTATATTGTGCGCAAGCCTCGGTAACAGACCTGCAATAATAATTAAAAAACGATAAAATAGATTTGAATTTATCGAGACTCTGTGGAAACTTACTCAGGTTGGTCAAAATACAGATTCGCATAATTTCCGTCACTGTTTAGATAAAGCTTGGTAATGTTACCAAATTCACTGAACGTTTTTTTTAGTTCGATCTATAAAACACAAGAAGAGTTAATTTCAATGATTTGTTTGATTAGGCGACTAAAATAAATAGAAAACACAATGCGTTTAATATGTGCTGTAAACGTAACACTCAATAAATTCAAATTATAGGTAGGTACTAGGTACACATTCATTTTTTGAGACGCTTGATAAAGAGCAAAAAGAGCCTCTCAATTGAGACATTGAAAATTTAAATTTATCAAAAGTAGGACTATAAGTGACAACAATGATTATCAAAAAGCTAAACAATCACTACAGCTCAATGTTTGTTCATTTTTTGGTATGTAGGTATATGAACAATTGATTAGATTAAAATCCCATTCAGCTTATTCACTTACCTGCATTACAATTAAAGACTTTATACAGGAATGGAATAGAAATAAAATAGTCCCAGCAGTGAAAGGTAAGCATAGTCAGAAGGTTTAAGATTCAGTTAACACTTAACCATATACAATTATTGAAAATACAGTAGAACCCCGATTATCCGAGTCGCAATTATCTGAGCTCTAGATTAACCAAGCCAATATGACGACCCAAAGACCCTGATTATCCGAGGTATGGGCGTCTATACTCCATATTCACCGAGCTTCTGACATTTACAATATACATTTACACATACATATTTTTATTTAAAATCGTCGGGGCCGATAAGGAATCCCCTTGGCACCTGTGAGTGGTTCCTCTATTTATGTTTTTGTACTCTTTTCATTCTTTTATCATGTAAATTTGCGTAATTTCGGATTATCCAAGGAGGGCCCCCCACGTTACCTCGTTTTTTTTTCCTTTATTTCAACATGATAGTTAAACAATAGATGTATGTATGTACCTAAACCCTGAGTTGAAAAGCTATGTGGGTCAATCAGTAGCATATATAACATTATTACAATATACCGTATTGTTATACATCATACAATATCACACAAAAGAAAATATCCAGTACAAGTAGGTAATATATCACAAAGTTGTTGTATTTATGAATAATTCTAAATTGCAGATAAAGTCTTTCAGTGTACAGTCCCAAAGTATCCATCGAAGATCAGCTGCTTCAGCTTACACTTGAAGCAAGTTATGTTCAATCTTTTTAACAGATTCTGGAATTCAATTGTAGTGCCTTAGTCCTTCTGACAAGATGCTGCGTTTGCCAGTTGTAGTGTTCATTGCCGACGTTCTTGAGTTTTCATCGAGTCTGGCATTGTGGTGATGGATTGTGTTGGCTGGGATGAGACTTATTGTAGAGTGAATATTGAAAGTCTTGCAAGAATGGATAAAGATGCATGATTGCAAGATATATAGGAAGTGAATGTCCAGGATGCCATTCGGAAAATATAAGTCTTTTGTTGGAATTAGAAATGGCAGCTTAAACAAATTTTTATAGCACAATTTTGGAGAACTGATAATGGGTGCAGTTTGTTAAGGGAAGCATTTTCCCGTAGCAGAGTTAGATATGATATGTGAGAATGGATAAGGGAATTGTATATATCATCTTACGATCCGCAATGGACAGATAGTCCAAAATTTGACCAAGTATTCCAATTGCTGGTGTAACCTTTTTACATGCAAGATGTGCATATCCCAAGTAAGTTTTGAATCGACAAATATTTGATGCAGTTTGCACGAGTCAATGGGAGACCTTGAAAATTTATCGTGAAATCAGGCCAGGACTCAAACTTTGATATTTGTGGTAAGTTTGTGGTAAAGAGCCAATCGCTCATTTTCTGTAAGTCTTCTTCAATGATGATTTTTAAGTTAGCAGCAAGGTTAGCAGAGTCCTTGTCAAAATAAGTGAGTATCATCCATCTGCATATAAATTGAGAGAGCCCTGAAGAGGTATGTATGACAGTGAGTTCATGTAGACTAGGAAGAGTGTCAGTCCTAGAATTGAACCTTGGGGCACTCCGTGTACAATGTTTTCCATTTTACTTCTGTTACCTTCACATTCAACATACTGTAGTCTGCCCGATAGATAATCCCTAAACCACAGTAGTGCTGAACCTCCAATACCAGTTTTTTCAAGCACCTTCACGAGAATTTTGTGAATTACTTTATCAAAAGCTTTTCTTAAGTCCAGCGAGACAAGTACACACTTATATCTCTTACGCACTTTTTCATAAATATTTGTAATTATGTCTGTAGTTGCTGAGGAGGTATTGCTGTGTTTTCTGAATCCATATTGACCAAAAATTTAGTCCATCCAAATAACTGGTTAATCTCATATTTACACAGGTCTCCAATACTTTAGACATAGCTGGGAGCAAGGAAATGGGCCTGTAGCTGTTTAGTCTGTGCTATCATCCATCACCCTTAAACAAAGGAGCAAACCTTTGCCATTTTAAACAGACTTGGTACAAATGTAGTATTATTAAAAAATTTTATCAGCTAACATAAAGTAGGCGATATTTCATTTTTCAATTTCTTGATTGTATCAATGCCTAAGCTGTCAACTCCAGGTGATTTTCCTGGTTTTAATTTGTTTCTAACTGCATTGACCTCCTCTGTAGTCACAGGTTCCCATTGATTTATGTTTTTGGCTAGTTTCCCAGCAATTCCGGAAAAGTATTGGTTTTGCAAGTTGGCAACATCCTGTGGGATCTGCACAGTATGGCCTTCATGTACTAACTTAGGTAGCAAGCGGTCTTTTCTGGGTTTGGAGCTGTTGATTATAGTGTTTAGTGTTCTCCATATATGTTTAACATCATTCCCTGCTTTACTAATTTACTGAAGTAATCAGTTAACTGGGGTTCTACTGTAATAAAATTATAGTCTACAAAATAATTTAACATACAGGTGCACATAACAATTTATACCAAACCTAGAAGAGAGGTTAAAATTCCAAATCTGAGACGAGACCCCATACTGTATAAATTTATCTATTGAAGAATGGCATTTATTAATGAAAAATTTTGTTAATTTATTAAAGAATTTGGGTGCATAATGACGTGTTGCATTCCGGGAAGTTTCTAAATTCAATCAAAGTTAGGAGTTTCAGTATTTTCAGAGTTTTAAAAAAAGATCTAACATCCAATTGGCTTTGGATTGGACTCAAGATACTATTAAGATGGACCAGCAGCAGACCATTGGAATTGCACTCAAGATACTTATAAGATGATAATTTGTAATTGCTACAATAAACTGGAAAATTTTCAGTTTGGAGTGACCGATTAAAGATGTAGTATAGAGATCTGGAAATATTAGAGCTGTAGATTTGTTTGTTAGTAGTCCTTCTCATCCAAGTCCCTAATTGATGATTAGAGATGAAAGTTTGGCATAGATATAAGAAATTGTGATTTGCAGTTTGAAGATTTAACTAATATTTAGTCTTATTTGCTATATTAGATATCAATATTACCAAGAGGTTTCTGTTCTCTGTCATCTAATAATCTTTGTAGTTCAGCCATAAGCTGGTACGCTAAAAGGCTTTTAGCTCAGCATTTAGTATTGCTGAAATTTGGATCAAATCAGATTGACAATAAGGCTAGAATCTTTGATTGCACTTCATGCACTGCTTGGTTAATTTTTAGGTCAAAAATCAGTAATAATAGTTAAAATATTAGCACAAACTACATTATTGTTAAGTCTCAAACAGGTGTATATTCAACGATTCAAAATACCACATACCACATGCCAAAGCCAAACAAGCTCCTGAAAAAAAAAATTTGCAAATGTTTCTGATAGCCAAAAGCCAAGCAAAGTTGTGAGGTGAATTCTAAATGCCTTAAAATTAATAACCAGTTCTACCACAAACTAAAAAAAAAAAAACTCAACTTACACGGTCAAGAACATATTCATTCCCCTTTACATGAACGTATGGTTTATTCCTGAAAAATGTTAGTAAGTAAAAAAAAGACCTTCAATAAAAACTAATTTACTAAACACCAAATTAAACACAAAACTTATGAAATATACATGGGTGATTCCAAAATAGCGTGTAAGCGCTCCACTACGTTGTAAGAGGCCATTCAGGGAACCCCATAAAAATCCTCCTCAACCAATCTTGGTGATATGAAGGAGGTTCATTCCCGATTTGTTTTTAAACTGCGATATTCCATATAAAGTTGTGTTTTCTTTTATTATGTATATGATAGAAAAAAATCACATTAGTTGGATTTTAAAATGAATTTTGCAAACTGTAAAATCTTTAAGTACAGTCGTGAGCTCAGTCGTGAGCAGAAAAAAATGGGCACCCGATTTTTCCTATTGTAAAATGGGCTCACCAGCTACACCGTCGGCAATGACGGGGATTGTCATACATGAGAAAAAATCAGCCCCCGGATTCTATTTTACGAGTCGAGTCGGATTGTCTCGATATCGAATACGACAGCTTCAGACTTACCCTGTAATAGGTATTGATAAATCGGAAAATAGAATCGCTATTTTGACAATTCGATACGAATTTCGACTCGACTCGTAAAATAGAATCCGGCAGCTGTTTTACAGAAAAGACTGATTTACCCAAAATAGCAAAAAATGACAAGACCTGCCAGTCCCACTTCTAATGCTCACGACTGTACCTCTCCAAAAAATGAATCTGGCAACGTTACTTTATTTGCTTTCGATTTTTGTAGATATGTCAGATGTTGTACTGGTTTTGATACATGCCAGTTGTTAGTATGTATGGTGATTAACTGCTAAGATATTAATTAGGTAGGTGGTATCAGCTAAGCTAATAAAATTAGGACAAGGTTCATTATTAGAACAGAGGTATAATAATTCAATATAGGTGGAAGTATTCAAGATGTTGCCAATTTTAACACTCAGTGTTCTTCTAATAACCTTGTTAAGAGTGACTTTATATTATTTCAATAAGCTTGTATTGTTTGTAATTACTGTAAAGAATGGATGTCGTTTAAAGAATAAAAAAAAATGTAGATATGTATTTATAAAGAATTTAGAAGTTCACAAATAGTTAAGGTTCGTTTCACCAGGGTTCATACTTGACCTTGAAACTTGAAAAAAAAAGGTTGACGTAGAATAATTCATATGACACATTCAATTTTTTTGACAAATTAAAATGAATGACATCTGGTTTAACAACCGACGAACGTTTTTGACGTCATTGATTTGTTTCAGTCAATTTTTATTTGTTAAACAAGGAAACAAATGCTGGTGGCAAGTACAAACCCTGGCGAAACAAACTTTACCTATTAAAGCTTATGGCACAGAAAAAAATTCTGTTAAAAGGTTCTATCACAGCATATTTTCAGCTTTATCTGTTGTTGATAAAGACTGGAAAAAATAATCGATCGATTAAAAGTGCTGTTTAAAGCCAATATGTAGGTAATATAATCAGTATCGTCCGTCGATTTTAATCTGATACTCGGAGGGAATGTGAGCTGGTGGCTCCCTACATTAGAACGCCAATGGTTACCTGACGTCACACCTGTTTTTTTGCCATATGAAACAGCCCCTCGCTCCTCATACGAAAAGTGTCAGTTAGAAATCGACGAACAATAGTATAAATTGTCATCTGGGATTGCAAAAAAAATCAGATTACTTATGGGATAATTTTTGAAAATTGTGGAAGGTATATATTATATTGTTTCCAGAGAAAAATGTCAAATTTTTTTTAGGGAAAAACACAAAGAGGACTGTTTTATTTTTCAAATATAAGCAAGAAAAGCTTATTGAAGTACAATCGCCATCTAATTGAGGTGAAGATTCTCTCTAGTCAAGTGAAGCTGCGATAAGAGAATTATTTCTATGAACGTTTTTAGCTAAGCAGATAGATTTTCAAAATTTGAAATAAGGCGAAACATTTGGGTTAGTTTGGGTTCTGTGCAAAGCTAAAAATTTGTGCGTAGAATTCGTAATCTGTATACAGACAGAGTGATTTGGAGACTGTATTGGCAACGGCTTTGTTCCAAGAAAGCAGAAAACCGTACAGTATACCCTCAGGATTCTGCACAAAAACCTAGAATATGTGCGAAGAGTAGAATCCAAAATTTGTGTACAGGATGTCTGGTTTTAATTTGACTCATCCCCACCCATAGCCTTCACCTTTATAGGTAGATGATGGATGTGAATACAAAAGTTGTGGAGTTTTGGCTAAATTTTCAAAATCCATCGTGAGAAACAAAAATTTCTTGTCAGAAATTTGAAATTTTGCGTACTTTCAACTTTTTTCAAATGGAATGCCCAATATTTGATTCTATATTCTTGAAGAGCACAATTTTCCGATTCTAAAAATACATATATATTTTCTCTATGGGTGTCTTTTTCCAGGCCAACATGAAGTTCAATAAGCATTTTCATCATGTTGTCAATAAAGCACTAAAAGCACTTGGCTTTGTAATCAGGAATAGTAAGAACTTTAAAATAAGTACAATTATTAACTTGTATAATGCTCTGGTGAGACCGCACCTTGAATATGCATCACATATTGATGAAATTGAAAAAGTGCAGAAGAGATTTTTGTGGTATCTCTATGTGGTTAAAAATAATATTTACCCATATATGGTTCCTTACAGGAATATGCTTGTTAGTTTTGAGATAAAGTCATTAGTGGAAAGAAGGAATAATCAGGCTGTGATATTTTTCTTTTATATTCTAAACAACCTAAAGTATAAGGATTGTAATTTAATTAACTATGTCTCCTTAATTGTACCAAAGATTAACTTAAGAATTATGAAAAACAAGAAATACTTTGGTACTGATCCTAGTAATAATATGTCACCATTTAATTGCATGATGACAGTTGCGAACCAAGCACTTAATGAGGTCCAGGTAGATCTTTTTAATGTAACTTTAAAACAATTGAAGGCCCTTTTAAATTAGTCATATATGTTTATATTTAAAACTCTGTCTTTATTTTTGTGTTTTACACTTTGCTGTTTTGACTTTACATGTAATTACTATTTTTGGTGTTTGTAAAGTAATGAAATAAATAAATATATTTGGTTGAGCCGTCTTCAACATATTTGGCTCTAAAAATTGTAATAATACCAAGAAAAATACTATCTTTGATTTAGATTTTGTGAACCATTCATATCAAGGTGACAGCTGCAGGTAAAATTTGAGGCAGTTGGTTTCTCTGATAGTATTTTATTTAAATTTTAAAAATCAAATGTATTGGAGACGGCTCAACCAAATATAGACAAGCTATATATTTTTGGAATCAAAAAATTCTTCTCTTCAAGAATATAAAATAAAATATAGGACATTTCATTGAAAAAAAGCTGAAAGTGTTGAAAGTACACAAAATTTCAAATTTCTGACAATAAATTTTTGTTTCTGATGATGGATTCTAAAAATTTAGCTAAAACTGCACAACTTTTGTATTTACACCTATCATCTACCAGTAAAGATAAAGGCTACAGGTGGGCTGTCAAATTATAACCAGACACCCAGTTCCTAATAGGGAGTTATTCACTATATTTTGACCCTCTACCTGCAGCCTTTACCTTTACAGGTAGAGATAATAGTGTGAACACCAAATTTGTGCCATTTTAGATACATTTTTAAAATCCATCATCAGAAACAAAATGTATTGTCAGAAATTTGAAATTTTGCATACTTTCAACTTTTTTCAAATAAAATGCCCTATATTTGATTCTATATTCTTGAAGAGCACAATTTTCCGATTCCAAAGATCTATAGTTTCTCTATATTTGGTTGAGCTCCAACATATTTGGCTCTAAAAATTTTAAAAATACTATCAGAGTAACCAGTACCTCAAATTTCACCTGCAGCTTTCATGTTTACAGGTATAGAATGGTAATGAGAATGGTTCACAATGAATTCTAAAAATTTAGCCAAAACTGGACAACTTTTGAATTATACAAGGTGGGGCACGAAAAACTTCCCACCTAGGTTTTCTCAGGTGTTAGGTGATTAATTAAAAATCGCTGGAACACGTTATTTTTTGTTTTTTGGGGGACACATTTTATTAGTATTTTCACCCCCTACCTGTCAACCCCTAAGCGGGGGTGACAGGTACCCCCAAATTTCAAATGCAAAAGGCGGTTGAGTGATACGTCATTCGATAGCAATTTTTATTAGGATTATATCCCCAATGTTTCAAGTAGCTACTATTTACCCTGTCAAAATGCCGGCTTGTCAAAGTTGCGTGGTTGTTACCTCATAATATCAAAAGAATAGATTTTTCAAGTGAATAAACATGAACCATTTTTAACTGAACTGTTAAATGACAATACTTAAATTAAATGTTGATGATGTTGATTTTATTACTATAGATAGATACCTTTAAAACATCCATTGTTTTGTTATTATGTGATAAAAATCACACAGTTCAGATACTTAGAAAAAAGCATTTTTACTAACTTTGACAAGTCGCCATTTCAGCAGGGTAAATAGTAGCAACTTAAAACTTTGGGGATACAATCTTAATAAAAATAGCTATCGAATAACGTATCACTCGACCCCCCTTCCCATTTTAAATTATGGGGGTACCTGTCACCCCCGCTTAGGGGTTGACAGATAGGGGGTGAAAATACCAATAAAATGTGTCCCCCAAAAAACAAAAATCGAGGTTTCCAAGCGATTTTCGATTAAACGCCTACCACCTGAGAAAATCTGGGTGGGAAGTTTTTCGTGCCCACCTTGTATGTAAAATCATCTACCTGTGAAGGTAAAGGCTGCAGGTAAGGGCTCAAAATATAGTGATTAACCCTGTACATAGTGGTTTGGAAACCATAAATAGAAGGCGGAAAAATTGGATCCCCTGCTAAAATATTCATGGGAAAAAAATTAAAATAATTTACACAAGCTGGTTATCAAGCAAGCCACAGCACCTGATTTCTCAAAACCAGGGATAATGCTTCTCAACAGGCTTCCGATGAGAACTGAGTGCCCTGGCTTCTCAGTTCAACTCTAAATCTCATACGAGTGAAAAATTTGTTCTCATGAGACATGAGATTCATGAGAACACTGCTTCCTTGTTCTAAGAATCAGGTGCCATTGGAAGATGCAGATTCTTCTGGAATTAAATGCAATGTTAACCTGACAAAGCCTGTAGAAGTAGGAGCAACAAAAAAACCAAATTGCCACTATAAAAAATAGTTCATCCACTTCTATTTATAGACATAATATACTGAAGAATAGTTAAAATAACCCAACAAACAAAACTAACTTACCACTTGTCCATTGAAAGCGGAAATTATTTTATGGAACTTGAAATACGGCGAAATGGGGTGTTCAACTAGGTACAAGGTACAAATAGTAATAAAAGTTCATGAAACATAGAAGAACGCGGACCACGACAACCACCAGGCAAAATTCCAAGAAGAGAAAGAAGGGATAACCAAATAACCAAACTCAACAAAAGTCGAGAAAATTGGAAATGTAAATGTGTATAAACAATGATGACAAGTGACAATATTAGAGAAAGGGCAAGGGGTTTTCATTTCAATAGATCCGAGTAGTTCGGTCAACACTGACAAATCCGAAATTGTAATTATTGTAGGAATAAATAATGGAGCAGGCACGGTAGCGATTCAACCCCGACCTGTTTAGAGTGAGCAGAGGGGTTGCTCTTTTATCTGAATTAACCCGAACATGAATTGATGCACATCACTTTAAAATACGAGCGGTGTAACTGAAATCTACTCCATTTAACAAGCAAAGGAAAGGTGATTTGGTTTGTGGGTGATTTTCTTTCAATTCTAGAGTGCCAACCCGAACCGCTTTCCAGTGCCTAAATTGTTAGAGTATCATGCTCCTGAAGTGTGACGCTCTTGAACTGTTCGACATAAGCAGCACTGGAACGCTCTCGTCTTAACCCCCACCATTTCGGATTTCAGGAGCATGAAACACAGACAAAAGGGTTGGTGCACGAGGGGGCAGGGGATAACAGAAATGAGTAGCTCAAGTGTACGACACTCTAAGCACTGGAACGCGCAAAGCAATTGTGGAGCACTCCTGAGCTGCTCAGGAGTAACTCAAATGGGTCACTGGAAAGCACCTCCGGTGTGTGGCTCAAATTTGGGAAAAATAACCGGCCACCGTCCGACAAAAAAATTTTACTTACCAAGGGTTGTCCATTGAATTCAGAGTTCAAAAAGGTATATAACTGAAACGGTATAAGATAAATTAATAAAACATACTACAGGCACGTGGCTCGCCTACTACACAACGATTACACCTGCCGACCAAACGATCAACAAACAAACTGCAAGTGCAACGAGAAAACACGTGAAATGAAAATGGAACTGCAACTAGCAAGGGAAGGGAAGGCAAGAGGCAAGAACAAAGCAAAAGAAGCACCTAACCTAACTTGGAGACAACTGATAGCGATTTCCGTTTGCAGAATCAGTGCAAAAAAAATGTATTTTTAGCCTTATATACATGCTTTTAGAAAAAGATGCAGTCAGTGCACACTGATCGACAAATGAATATCGAAAACGCTAACTTAAGTCAGGAAATGGTCAAAATCGTAAGCAACTTATGGCTGAGTTTGGCTTTACAATCTTTACATTGCTTTAGGGCGGGTATTATAAAACTACTTTGAGAGTTAACTTGAAGTTAACTTCTGGAATTACATGTATTTCAAAAATTTAACTTCAAGTTAACTGTCAAAGCAGTTTTATAATACCCACCCTTACACTCGGTGAACAGCGCGCTCGAAACGTTGAGATGCTGTTCGTTTTAGCTCTGAAGGTCCTCTCTCTTTTGCGTTCGGGTTACAATCCAGCACGTACCCTGAGTTCGCTCTCTTTTTCCTGCGGCCGAATTTTCGTCTCAGGGAGTAGAGCTGCCCGAGAGAACAAATTTTTCATCTTTATCATTCTCTCTTATTAGTTGTATTCCTTTCAAAAGTTTGAAACACTCGAGCTACTTGCTCCGGTGTTCAGTCGCCCCCGATTTGCAGGGAACAGATGCGTGGTGCAACCACTAACACTTTCCGAAAGGAATAAGCGCGTGAAGCCCCGGAGCTGTTCCGGAGCTCCTCCTAGGTGTGAAAAGAATACAACTATTTTTCAATTAGGCTGACAAAAACTGTCTATACATTCGTTCTATTGGGGAGCTCGACTGCCTGACGAGAATCCGGCCCCAGGGCCGGATTCTCTGGGGCCTGATTCTCAGAGAGTAGAGCTCATTTTCGATGGATAAATGGAGAATCAGTGAACAATTTTTTTTGAGAATAGCGACAACTGTGATAAAGTGCTTCAGGAATTTTTTTTTTCGATCTGCGTTCGGCTTATGACCTACTTCAGGGCACAGGGCACTCTGCTTATGACGTCACGATAAGCATGCTCATATTGCTCATACATACCGTTCCGCTCCCTGGAGTACAAAGCCGAACTCAGCCACAGCTGCACTGTAAACTAAAGTCTGTTTTTTTTAAAAGATAAAAGTCAAAATGATTTCTTATGTAGAAAAGGCTTCTGTTCTAACCTATAGTTCATTGGTTCCAACATAGTTACTACATTTTTGACTTGGGGAATTATCTATAAAAAAAAAAACTTTAGAGGGTTCCACATAATGGGGACTGGTGGTACTCCTTGATTCCACTGCAGGCTCATTGTTCGACTCCGACCAGAGAGAGCGCGAGTTTTTAAAATTGGAATACCTATACTCCGGGCAAAGTATTTGTACTTGCACCCAGAGTTCTAAAGTGCCCGAACACTAGTCAGTGCTGTACTGCGAATGGCAATCAAAGAAATGAATCTTTCAGTTTGATTGCAAATAACAACATATCCAACATCCAACAGGAATTTTTATCCATTCTTTTCTTAAGTATTTTTGAAAATTTTATATTCTCAGAACAGCAACTGCAACAAAACTTCCAGGGAATAGATTTGTAGTTGGGAATAATAGTAGAAGACGGCATTTTTCATAGTTTTTCAGTTTGTAGATCATAGAGTACAAAAATGTTATGGAAAGTTGGCGGAAATATTATGTAGCATTTTCAATTCCCAAAAACCGAAATGAAATGTACTTGAGTATTTTATTTTGGATTGACCCTTATGAAGTGCAAATATATTAATAAAATCCGGTACAAATAGTGCGACATACACTAGAGCTGTTTTCTCGCGTTCACTTTTTTGAAACTGGTTCAAAACAGGTTTGAACAGTATATATTCTGGCGATGAAGCCATGACGTCACATCAAATTTGGTTCAAATCGTTTCGGAATACAATCCATTTCACGTTTTGAAACTGTTTCCGCTGGCCCCCGGATTCGTTTCAATGTTTTTTTTTTGTGTATGAAAATGAGCACAATTCGCATAAATACTGCCACAATTGAGCACAAAACGGGCACAATTGACTACAGTTGAGAAACAGTAGAAAACCAAATGTGGGGTGCCAACGAGCCGGTTTAATTTTTGCATTTCAATATCAAAATATAAGCGAAACGGGGTTGCAATAGTGTGTTTTATTTTTTACTGTCCCTACTAGGTACTTCTCAATTATTATTCACTAGTTTAATAGGTACTAGAACGATTTAATATGGACATTCAAAGTAAGCTTATTTCACAAAGCCAAATAGTGATACCTAATTTAGATTCTCATAATCATATTCCAGAAAAACACTGCAAGTTTCCCATATTTTCCATGCGTTTTCATAGTAAACGCGCCAGTAAAGGAATTTATTTACATATTTATTTATTCACTCTTCACAAACACTAATTTTTATTAGTAATTACATGCAAAGGAAACTTACAACTAAGTAGATATTTGATTTACAAAAAAAAAGCAATACAAATGCTTGACTAGGAAATACTAACTAGCAATACACACAAATAAAAGAGCCTGTCCTGATACAACAAATCCAGTATTATAAAACCACTAAAACCAGAAAATGCTTGGGGTTTTCGCGAATATTTTCAGCCACGAGTCTTTTATGCTTACACATTAAATGAAACTTTAAATTTACACTTATAACACTAGCAAAACACTAGATAAATCCGAATTTACGATAAAATAATTGTCAGCACAAACTGAACATCATTCGTATCAGCGGCCATCTTGAAAATCCGGCATGCACGTGACGTCACAGCAATTGTGAACAAATTTAGCCGATTGAGCAATCCTGTAGAGTTTACGATTCTTGAATAAAACCCAACCATTTTATCACGTGATTACGCCAAAAATGTCAACTTACGCTCATGAGAATTCGCCCTGAGGGCGAGTCCCGACGGGCATAATTGACATAAGCGTAACTAATCACGTGATTTAATTTGTGCGATTTCATTAGCGACAGTGCAGCGTGGTGCAGCCATCTTGAATTTTTGACATTACGCTACGCTGCCGCTACGGCAAAAAGTTGGGTTGTTGAACTTTTCGGCGTAATCGTCACGAAGTTGTGACGTCCAGCAACAACTCTTTTTCAGATCTCGTTTTCATCTTCCTCTTCGCCTATTATGTTAATCAAAATTGAATAATATTTTTCATCATAAATATAAATTCTAAACTTCGTTTTCTAGTGCAAACAGCTGACAACTTGTTGATGACGTCGCAAATGGTGACACATAAATATGGCGGCGATTACCAAAAACGAGGCCGATAAGCAATCCTTAGTAGTGTGTATATTATCCTTGGGGTCAGCTTAGGTTTGTCGTCAAAGTGTAGAGAGTGCTTTGCACTCCACGGAGCAAAGTAGAGAGCGAACTCAGGGTACGTGCTCGATTGTAACCCGAATGTAAAAGAAAACACTCTGAGAGCTAAAACGAAGAGGGTCTTATCGTATCGAGCACGCTCTGACTTTACCAAGTTTAAAGCCAATTTCAGCCTTTGAAACCCTTATAATTAAAAAAATCATGTGAACAGTCACTGTAATGTGAACAAACCACAAGCTGGCAACATCGCGACCGTAACATTTTGCTTTTTTGGAATTCGGAAAGTGGCGGGAAAGTTTTAATTTCAAATAGTATATTACATTACTAGTGTAGAAAGTGACAAATTTCACACGAGTGTATGAAAGACGCTTTCTCACGAGTAATGTAGGTACATGATTTTTCCTACGACCAGAAACCGATTTACACCAATTTTCTCTTATTCCATATTTATTTTCATTTTCAACACACGTGCTGAAAGTACCCACGTATTGAAAGTTAATTTTTGAGTATGATTTTTTTCATGCATTTGAAATATTTTGACATTTTTTGTCAACAAAATGCGTCACTGTATTTTCAATAATAATGTCAAAAGTAGTTTCCACACGTGTGCTGAAAGTACACTCATCATAATAATCTAGGGAACAAATAATCATGGGCGTCGTTTGGGGGGGGGGGGGGGGCAAGGGGGGGCATTTGCCCCCCCCCCCTAGAAATAGTTTTTTGAACTAAGGCGATTTTCAGCCTGGAATGATTATTTATCGGTAAATACCGTGGTTATTCTTTTGGTTGACAACTTTGACAGCCAACTGTGACGTCATAGCCCCCCACCATTCAAGAATCATAACCCAAGGAACTGACCGATGAAATGATTTGGTTATAGCAGTGTAGGATTAGGTTTATTATTCTTATTTGTTTTTTCGTTTCAACAATAGTTTTTTGTTTAGGTACAGAAAATGGAGCTGAATCTCTCGTTAGTCTCGTTTATCGAACAGATTTTCTTTGGGGATGATCTAAACCTCGATCTAAACATGGTGAATTGCAGTGAGTGAGTGAATGTATACTTCTTTCATTGTGCCAGGCTACAACGCAACTGCAAAATCACAAAACACCAATACAAATTTCAAAAATAATAACAATAACATCAAAAAGCTGTAACCAAAAGATTAACCCAAGTCCAAAGCTGGGTTATAATCGGTTATAAGTGGTAAATACCAAAAGCAAATCAGCTGATATGTACGTCACAACTTCCCCTACTTTGGTTAAAACCGCGACGGCGGAAATGCATTGGTCATAACCAAATACTAATCATTCCAGGCTGAAAATCGCCTCAAGAAAGCAGTAAAAGAGAGTTCGTATTCGTATTGCTTTTCTCCATTTTTTCAAAATTTGTTAGTTATGTACTTTGAAAAATTGGCTGACATTTTCATTACATTCAACGGAATGGCAGCAAATATCCAGTTAAGTTCCCCAAAATCTTGTAGAGGGCGCGAGTGAACTTGGATTGCTTTACATTTTGGCGGTAAATGTCAATAGTTTTAAACGGTTCAAATTGAGTAGAAGGGAAGATGACTACATATGAACAATGGACAGTGAATAAGTTAAAATATCTTCTAAAACGTTCAGTGGCCCTTAGAGAATATTTTTAAAAGTGTCGGCGTCAGCTTGTCTTGAAACCACACGTCAAACTTAACTTTTGAGGTTAAAATTACAATCGATTATTCACGCGCCAAAATTTGAAGTGTTCCAGGTACAGAAGCGCCCTCTTCAACTCAACTGTCAATATTACATGCCATTGAATTTCACTTGACTTAGGGCCGGTATTATAAAACACTGAACCGATGGTAGTGTTCCAAGTTCCAACCTTCGGTTGGATCCAATGAACTATAACCAAAAACTGGAATGCTAACACATATTGACGATGGTGAAGCCTAGTGCCGCTGCTGCGGAGGGGATACCTGTTTTTGTCGCACTCATTATGTTAAATGGCGAAAATTGCTTCCAACACGTATTCCAATTGATGAAACCTGTGAAGGGAAATATGACAAAACTTTCGAAAACGTCATATGTCAGCGAGCAACAGAAAAAAACAACATTCCCCCTTGTGGCATCTGTCTTTCATGGCTTCATTTTTTGGGCATATATGGCAATGTGTGCGCATTCTAGTTTTTAGCTATAATTAAAATTAGCCTACAGCGGTTGCCTGCGGCGCTAATGAAAATGGTCTTATTATAATGCTGCCCCCCCCCCTGAGAAACCTCGTAACGACGCCCATGCAAATAATATCTGTCTTTTACTTTTAAGACAAAACAGCTTTTTTTTAAGATAACGTAGGTTTTATTTATTCAACAAATCTTATCAAATATACCATATCGGCTTGTTTATGCAAGTTTGTTTAGTTTAAATATTTTATAATAAAATCAGGAAAAAATTTCTGATAAGTATAGATATTATCTTGTTCTCTAGACCATTTTGATGTGTGTACTTACAGGACGCAAAACGTATTGAAAGTACTTTCGGCACGCGTGTGATATTTAGCACTTTTCTAAGAGCCAACAAGTGCGGATTTTGTCATTTTCGTATGTGGTCGTAGGAAAATAGCTTTCCATGCAAAAAGTGTGTAAACTGAAACTTGAGAAATAACAATCTCACGAGTGAGAAAAGGGGCTTTACAAACATATATGTTACATACAATTTTTGCTATTTGCTACTAAAGTCTGTGTTTTTTTAAAGATAATTCCCCATGTCAAAAATGTAGTAACTATGTTGGCAACACAAGCCTTTTCTACTTAAAAAAATCGAAAGCATCGACAATTTTACATTGTATTATTGCCAACATAATGTCATTTTGACTTTTATCTTTAAACAAAAAAAAAACAGATTTTACTAACAATGAAAAGCCATAAATTTTAAAAAAATTATCACAACTTTAGCCCTACTGTCTAAAGTAAAGTAGGTACCTACCTATGTAACTTCGAGTGTAACTTATTACTTCACAACCTACTGTAAAGTAAATACATACCTATCACATTTTAAATTCAAAAAAGGATAGCAAAGGCTTTTTCAATGTTAAATTTTATAGTTGAGTGTATTTATGCATTCTTGAAAAGAAACACAATAACAATTTATTCAACTTTTTTCTACTAGGTACCGTGCGTTAAGTAATTTTCTTTGCACACTAGTGCGTGAAGTAAACAAAAATCTTTAATAAATTGTACCTACCTATTAGGGATTCTTGGCAAAAATGCATAAATATCCAAGTATAAAATTTGACATTATAAAAGCCATTGCTGCCCTTTTTTTGCATTAAAAATATGATTTTACTTTACACCTTCAATTGTGAAGTAAGGTATACTTTACGCTACCTATATATAAGGCGTAAAGTTAGGGTATATTTTTTTCAAATATATGGCATTATATTGTCGGTAGTAGAAAAAAATGTGTATGCAAGCACCTTTTTCAAGTTCACTCTGCACACTTTGTTGTTGCATAAATAGCAATTTTGAAATGTTATAATCTCGGTTATAATAAATTAATTTGTAATTTTCTTATTTGTTTCCTTTCCGTGAATAGGTATTTAATAATGGCCAGTTGAAATAAGCTAATACATTTTATTTTTAACCATATATGAAATGTTAACATTACTGACTTTTTAAAAATTTGAAAATGTCACATTTCTGTCTTTTCATTTTCCTGTTCCATTTCCCGCACCCTGGACGGGAAGTGAGGACGAGAAATTTTTTCCGTCCTCATTTCCCGTCCTACGACGGACAATGGAGTAGGAAAAAATTTCCCGTCCTAATTTCCCGTCGTCAATTCCCGACTTCATTTGGTTCGATTTGGTTGTCACGAATTTTTTTTTTTCAAGAAATCATGGTTAAAAATTAAATAGTATACAGACCTCGACGGGAAACTTCATTGCTGTCTCGAGGTTTAGTTCATCTCGACGCTACGCGTCTCGATAAACTATATATATAACCTCTTGACCAGCTATGATAAGCATTTCCCGTCTTGGATTGTAATATACTATTTATGTTTAAACAAGTGTTATTATGCTACATATTTCCTAGGCTCAAAATAACAGTTAGATATATTAACAACCCGCATCGTAACGCAAGATTCAAGTTGAAGTTCTCCGATTGATTTATAATCTGTAGTTATTTTGAAGTTCCTCACAACATTTGCAACAGTAGTTTTCATTTGCATCATCGATAGCCCTTTGCCTAAAAACAAATACTTCAATAAAACATATTTGTTATAAATACAAATTAATAGATTACCAATGCAATCTCTTGGTCCTGCAGAAAATCCTAGGAAAGAATACGGTTTTATTTTAGATTGATTCTCTGGAAGAAATCTCGCAGGGTCAAATTTCAAAGGCTCGACCCAATTTGCCGCGTCTCTGTGAATATGATAAGCACTTATTAGGCATGAAGCACCTGCGGGAAGCACTTTTCCGCCTAAATCTATATCTGCAAGACATTTTCTGCCTATAAACGGACCTGGTGGAAATAGTCTTAGAGTTTCCCAAAGCACTGCTTCAGTATATTTAAGATTTGTAATGTCTTCATATGAATCGGCAAGTGTATCTATTATTTCTTTATAGACTTTTTCCTGAAATAAGTTTAAATTATTAACTATTATTTTTGTTTGCTGGTTTATTTACTTGAATGTCTGGATAAATTGCTAATAAAATGAAGCAACTGCCTAGTGTGAATCCTGTAGTGTCAGTAGACTGAAAATGTATGATTAGGTAATTAATATTTTTTCTATGCCTAAACTTACTGCAACAGTAAGTAACATCAATTCATTAAATATTTCTGTGTCACTTAAAATTTGATTATCGACTGTTAACAGCAAATCCATTAGGCTAACTTCATTATTATTTTCAACAAAGGCTAAAAAAGTTATAATAATCAACAATAATAATTATTGTCTCAATATTTTGATCTTACAAATAATATCTTTGTGTTGTTCCTTTTTTTTCTTGATAATTTCCTTGGCATAGGTGGTTCCTTCATTGATAAGCTTGTCTACTGCTTTTCCTGCTGGAAACCATTTGGACCAAATTTTAGCCGGGACAACTGGATTTAATATTAATTCATTCAATAATTCTTGTACCCTATATAAGATATTTTTTGGTAATTAAGCAAATCTTAAATTAAAATCAACTATTATACTCGCTGACTATTTGTCCGATACGTCCCATGTCGGCAAACATTTCGTCTTCAGCAAGCCCCAGGGTACCTACTATAAAACAAAAATATACATTTTTAAATGAAGCAAATAAAATTACCTACTTACCAAAGAAACTGGTAAAAGAATATGTATTAAAATACTCGTATATGTTTTCGAGACATTTTTCGTGCTTTAGCTCTTGAACTAGATTACAACTTTGCCTGTACTGGATTGCATAATATGTTTTGAGCATTTTAGGCTTGAAACTTTTAAGAAAATGTCGTCTGTGTAGTTTCCATATATCATCTTAAATGTTATGTAATCAGAATTAGTGATTGGATAAATTGTCTGCCTTACAAGGTGCCAAAATAAGTCCATCTCCAAAATAATATCTTAAACTATCATAAATCGCGGCTTTGTCATAGCATTTTGGATGGTTTAATATTATTTTTGCATCATTCAAATCGCTCGTGAGGTAATTGTATTGGTGTCCGAACCAGAAACTGACCGGTAATCCAACAATTTTATGAGCTATTTCGGCCAAACTAATTGGATTTACTAAAAAAAGATTATCGAATGTAATACAAGAGGTTTCAGGATTACCGGATAATACTTTTACCTGTCACGAAACGCGTTACGCAGCAACACCACGACTCCGAAGGAGGAGTGGTGTTGCTGGTAACGCGTTGAGTGTCAGGTAAAAGTATTAGGTAATCCTGAAACATCGAGTGGTATTCAAAAGGTTATACAACGAACTAAACTTCAATACTTTATTAATTTTTATTGGCAAATGAACAATATTGCCACCAAGCGCGATAATCCCAAAAGGCTTATCACTTATTAAGCCTCTCGTGTCATATGGGAATAACGTACAGTGAGTTGTATAAACGATGTAAACTTGTAAACAAACTAGATATTTTATATTCTTCGGTAAAGTACTTACTTTTTTTGCCAGTTAATAAACTGATGTAAGTGTTCCCAATAAATGGTAAGACGGGCAAAAAAAAACCGTTAACTTTCCAAGAAAATTTTACATATTTCCAGTTTTTCCATAGAAATATTATGTAAAAAATTATCAAACATCCAATTAAAACTGAAGATATTGAATACATTATTTAAGCAACCGTGTTAAAAGTTGAATAAGAACTAAAATAGTCAAATAATAATCTAGGTAGGTTAAACAAGTTAAACAAGTTTCAAAATTAAAGATTCTAGTCTTGTTTGCAGGTAGGTAACCAAACTATGCCGTTGAATAACAATTAAAATTTCACGATTGCAAATTGGAATGAGACACAATAACAAAGTCATTATTTTATTGCATTATCGGCCTTCAAATAATTATATTTTTTTGTTTTTGAAACCAGTGGCGGCTGGCGGCTTGTGGTGTCCAATTAAGGGCGGGCGACAAAAATAAAAAACAGCTGTAGGCGATTTTTTTTTAGATTTTCAAAGTGGCGGCCTTTTTACATATTGTATTAAAAGCATTTTTTATGTTTCCATTTTTTCTCCAGGGTGCCGGTGCCCACCTTGCCCCAATATGGGCGGAACGCCACTGCTTAAAACATGTCTTGCATTTGCGTTGCCAAATTTGGCATGATATCCTTCCACTTCTTTTTAAATTAGTTACACCATGAGTTATCAATCCGTAAGCCGATAACGATTTTTTAAAAAAACAATTTATTCACTTAATTACAATACTGTACTTTCGGGTTATGCATTACAAAGGTTAAAAATAAGAAATATATTTATTTATTTAGTCTGTTTAAAGTGCACGCTACACTAATTATGATTCAACGTCTTTGGATTCAACTGACTAATAATTCTAGGCGAGCAGCGATATTTATAATATAGGAAAGGGAATTCAGCAGATTATGTGTTTGGTCAGCAAACAGAGCTGACATTACTCCTCCCTTCTTAAGCCTAGTACTCATAACTGCGAAATTCGCATTTTTTGACATTGCGTTGACAATTTGACGTTTTATGCGTGTATCAAACGTCAAATTGTCAACGCAATGTCAAAAAAATGCGAATTTCGCAGTTATGAGTACTAGGCTTTAGTCCTTATTACAGTGGCTAAATAAACCTTTACATACAGTGGCGACAATAGAGGTCCCGCCGCCATCTTGTTCCCAACCTCTTGTTACTTTTAAATATTAATATATAGGATTTAAATGGACATCTATCATGAAAAATTGAAATCCACGTATTTGATGACCATTATTAGGTCCATAAAATACGTTGTTTTCCATGATTTATGATGGATGTTCACCTAAATCCCATATATTCATATTTAAAAGTAACAAGGGGTTGGGAACAAGATGGCGGTGTTCTCAATATAAATATATGGGATTTTAGAACCAATCAAAAATGAGACAGCAATTGTCGCCACTGTGGCTTATAGAGTCACTGTAGTCCTTATTAGGATGCAACTTCATGCTAGGCGGTGGAGTTGGATTGGTTCGGCTACTACTTCAGGGTGGTTGTCCCTTCTTCGGGTCTTGAACTTCGGTGCTAGTTTCTTATAAGCATGAACAGCACACCAGGCATTCCCAGCAAGGATCATATAGCATAAATCAGAATGGTTCTCAAACTGGGTAGTCTTCCGATTTCACTAAATGTCAAACGGTTTTCTACGATATCGTTATCTAGTTGGTGGATATTGTCCAATTTTATGTTTTCAAGTGTGTACCTAAATTTAAGGAATGCATTAATTCAGGCACATTTGGAAGGTCGGGAAAATAGTATATAGGTTAGGCATCGGATTTCAGAAGCTTCCTTTCGTTGATTATCAGTCTCAAAAGAGATAGTTATTTGGCAACTGATTGGTATATGGACTAGAAAGGTTCCAATAACTTTTCTGATTTCCTCTTGTCCAAAGCACTTGAGTTCGATTGGTACTTTAGCCGGTAGGACCGTAGGACGAATATCCAATCGATTGATTATTGGTTGTGTGATTTTGAATTCGGCTGGCTTGCAAGTAGAAGTTATACATTTACTCTTGCAAACAACACTTCCGATTCACATTCCTATTAAAACTACCCTTCACCTATATCTATAAAATCTTAAAACTCCTAAGTCATTTACTGACTGTTTATGCAAAATAATTATGTAAGTCATAATTCCGACTCACTGTATTAAGTATATATGTATTACCAACTATATTTTTATAAAAACCTTACAATAATTTCTAAATGGTTAAAATCCTAAATCAAAATTTCAGCACTTAAGGTCAACAAGTTACTTCATAAACAACAAGTTTCTTTTCACAACTTCCCATTACTTTTTAATGGTTCAAATTTTTTTATCAAGGATCAATTTAAACAGAACATACTATTTTCGAATTCCTAGCCAACATACACAATTATTTAAATTCTTATTAGTTAGTTACTCACTTCATAGTCAATCATCATTTATAAAGTCAAAAAGTTTTACTAGTCAGTAGAGTACTTAGATTTAAATTTTCACCCGATAAAATTACTTAATTAATTTATTTCAAAAATCTCTAGAGCTCGCACATAATATTGAATGGGACTAAATGTTCTTTCTTTCAGAATTTTCCGTTACTTTTTCAAAGACAACGCGTTTTCCCGAGGCAAAAATGAAAGAAACTCTTCGCGAATTTTATTCGGACTGACTCATTAGGTACTGTAGACTTAAAACTCAAAACTGGACTGAACTTAAACTAATCTGCTTCTTCTAAAACCCCTGTATTTATATTTTTCGATTCCATCCAAAATATTATTAATTACCTACCAGGCAATAGGCGATCGTTTGACCATCTATATTTCAATTCTATTGGTCGACCTAGATATTATTCCAAAAATTAATTTCATCATTTAGAGGATGATGCAATCTGTTCGAAATTTTTGTCATTTGGGGTCCAATTCAATTAGGTGCTTAACTTTGTAATTGATCTTTTCCGGGGTCTTATTTACGAGTTCAAATGAATACACGTGCTTGGTCACTGATGGCTTGTTTAAAATTTTAACGTACCGATATAAATATTTTAATTAATTTGGGTCAATTCTAATTTGTTTCATCATCTTTCAATTTTTAGATACTGATTTGAGATACAGGAAATTCAGTTTTTGATTATTTGATTACATTTTATTTTTACAGTAAAGGCATTGTGAATTACGAGTCTATTTTCCGGGGTCATTCCAATTTCTTAATTTTGTTATCTACTCTAATTTATATTAGTTTAATTAATTTGATATAATTGCTTATATCTTCAGAATACTCTTTGTGTCTATTAAGCATATTAGTGATATTATTGGATTTAGAGTGTATTTTGTTAATTTCGATTATTATGGGATTTAGGTGAGAGTAATGTATTAATGTGTAGGTTTTTTTTTTACATTTTCAAGTTTCACTGGGATAGTTCCAGGATTATCGTCCAATTTTCTTATGAAAATTTGCTCCTGGTTTCCGAATGCATGAGTTAGAAAGCTGAGATTATATTTATATATAATATTCACATTTATTAGTATGCCTATTATTTATTAAAATTAACTTAGGTATCAAAACTATATTTGTTCCTTAGAGGACATTTGATATTATCCATATGAACTTTGCCTCGAGTGTCCGTCGTTATGGTTTTCCATGTCAGGTCAATAGTCTCTATTTGTAGCTGGTTGAAAATTTGTCTCCTGATTTTTGGCGTAGGTATATGTTTCTTATCCCGATTTTCATTGATTTTGCCAATTATTTTATTTTTTGTATCCATAAGACGCTCGTTTATATTGGAATACAAAAGTTTTGTTTTATTTTTGTGCTCGTTGACGTTATCTGTTATTAGAAGTTGATTTAACTTAAGATCGAATGAATCATTGGGACTAATTTGTCCTGCAATTATGTCAATGGGCTTCTGTTTTGATTACAGAGTGGATCGTATGATTGTATGCTAAGATTGCATATTTAATTTTTTGGGTAATTGGCGTTTTAAGGAATCCTTGATTGTTAAAAATACTTATGTGCTCAGATAAGTTTGAGTGAGGTCTTTCAATTACGCCGTTCGATTGAGGGTGTTCAGGAGAACAAAAATGTATTTTCACTTTGTGAAGTTGAAGTAATTCAGTAAGAACGGTATTTTTGAACTCAGTTCCATTGTCTGTGATTTTTTCGATGGAATGCTATGATGTAAAAAGAAGGATATGAGATTATCACATATTTCGGTAGCGGATAAAGATGTATAAGGGCATATTTAGAAAAACTGTCTATTATGGTGAGAAATTTAACCTTATCGAGAGTGTATGGTGTACCTATGTATCAAGGTCCACGTTGTTAAATGGTTTTGTTGCAGAAAGCGTGATGTTCATTTCCATATTTAGAAATATGACGTCATTGAGAAATATATACTTTTGCTTTGAATCCTGTCTTCGCTTTTCGATATTTTGCTATTCTGCTTGCGAGTAAACGTGTGGTGAGTATATGAAAAACCTGCTGTGAAGTTCTTTTGAGACGTGAAAGCGTCGTCTCTACACGGTTATAATGATATTTCGGGATCAGATCAGTGCTTAGATAGTGATAAAGGTCATCCAAAAGCAGTCCTTCAGACCTTAGTATTAAATAATTGACAAGATACGTTCCCTAATATCTAGACAGCTGGTCGTATTTTTGTAACCATTCCTGTTACAGTGCCGGAAGGTGAACAGAGTTTTAGAGAGCTTAAGTTAATTATAAAACGTACCTTAGGTCAACTCTAGCAGAGACAAACTTCCTGATCTATCCCTGCTGTCCATTAAGAATGATATAGCTCAGACATTGTCATGATAAGGAGATCATAAACAAAACAAATGCAAATGTGCGCGCAAACAGCGATTTACTTGAAATTTTGTTTGTTAAATTTTGTATTAGTGTATAAGTGATATTACTAAAGTTGAACGCTAAAAGTAACCTCGGGCCGGCACTGGTGATTTTTTTTGCTCTCATGGTAATTTTTAATTACTTCTGCTATTTCTATTTTGTTGGCGACATCAATTAATTTTATCAGGCATTTTTCAAATTCAATTGAAGGCCATTTAAAGTTTTTAAATTTTTCGAAACAATCAATGAACTCTGGGTAATGTTCAATAATATCTTGGCTCCCTTTTTCAAACATTTAGTTAGTGGTTTTGTTCATTTTGCGAAATTGTTTATGAAGCGTCGATAATAACCTAGTAGTCTAAGAAATCCCTTTATTTGCTTCATTGTTTTTGGTATGGGATAGTTTTTGAAAACTCGCTTTTATCTAATTGGATCTTAAAATTTGTTTATCTTGATCTTTTGGAATACGGTTTCTAATCTCTAAGTGTTCTTGCAATGACGACGAGAAGACTATAATGTCATCAAGGTAAACTAGGCACTTTTCGTTTTGGATTCCTCGTAGGATGCCGATCATAACCCTTTGAAAGGTTGCTGGGGCGTTGGTGAGCCCGAAGGGTCGAAATGGCCATTTTCTGTACTAAATGCCGTTATTGCCATGTCCTTTTCACACATTTGTTTTTGATGGAACCCACTAGCCAAATCTAAAGTTGTGAAAGATTTGCACTTCCCTAATTTATCTAGGAGGTCTGTGATATTAGGAAGAAGGTATCTATCTGGCATGGTCTTTGCATTGACGCCTCTGAATTCAATAACTACTCTCCATTTCTGCTTCCTAGAAACGTCTGCCTTTTCTGGGACTACCCAAATAGGTGAAGACCAAGGAGGATTGCTTGGGCGTATAATATTCTGGTCCAACATTTTTCTTATTTGCAATTCGACCTCTTGCTTATTAATGAATGGGTACCTATTTAAAAGTTGTTTTGTTATTAAGAATTAAATCCTCTACAACATATCAAAAAATGGGCAAAACCCATAGAGCCCAAAAATCCCATATTAGGTGTGCGTTATTCTTTTGAGAGTAACTATTCTATGCCATTTAAGTCCCTGCAAAGGCTCAATATGTAATTCATTCAAAGAAAAAAAACTAGTGTTAATTTTATTGACTACAAGTGAGTATATTACAAAATAACAGAATCATTGTAAGTAGTAGTATAGATGAGGATCTTAAATAACAACTATGGATGACAATTAAAAGCTAGGAACAAACTAAAAACCATCAACTTATAAAGTATATTAGCACTTCACCGTTTTGGCCTAAGTTTGGCAAAACTCTATATTGTACAAAATATACATTGATAATATTACTCACTAAAATATTTTAAGTAAAACAATAATTATACAGCCAATAAGTGATAAAATGTCTTTTTCAGCTGCATTAAAATATTTGGGAATCAAAATTTAGAGTATTCTACAAGCATTTCTAAGCACATTTTTCTTCTTTTTATGTTTATGGGGCTTCAAAACTATGGTTCCGTTATGGTTTTTGGACGAATGACTAGGGCTAAAGGCACCTGCAAACAAAAATTAATCATAACTCGATCTTATTTGAGCGATTCTCTTACTTATATTAAGAGCGTTGTGGTGCATCGGCTGGCGAATGGAGAAATAGTCCCCGGGGATGACGCTGTCGTCTTCCCGAGGGTCCCTGAGTTCAGCAAGACAACGTTGAGCAAGATGACGGAACACTGCGGATACGTTCACGTCTTCTTTGACTGAGGTACGTACCAGACGACATCCGAGGGCTCTGGCTAGAAGGTCAGCTTCTTCCCTACAAACACCGTAGAATGTAGGTATAGTTTTAAAAAAGACATATAAAAATTGAACTTATTTTTAGTGGATGATCTTAGAAAGGTAAGTCTGATATGAATCAGAACTTCCTTGTTTCATTTATGCCGAAGATTGCGACCGAAGGGCGCTTGAAACAGGGCACCTTAAAGTTCCCCGTTTTAATTATGCCATCAATGAACTTGATAGCTGCGAAGTAACAAGAGTTCATAGCTCAAAAAGGCGCTTGAATTAGGGCACTCAAAGTTCTACGTCGTCTGCCAAAGGTTTCGCCCGCAGGGCGTTTGAAATGTGATGGAGAGTCTTTAAGACAGAGCTTCATCTACATCTATACCACAGACATTTCAGAAACAGATAGAAATAATTATAAACTGGTGGAAAATTGGATAAAAAAACCTTACATTGTTTAATGGGGAATTCAAAAGTGTGACTGGTTTAAAAAATATATATGTATATATTCTTCATTGACAAAGAAACAAACAAGTAGTTTCAATTAATTATCGGTCACTTTCTTTTAGATCTTTATTGAGAAAGTCGATTTCTTCAAGGCTCATCTTTTTTTTTAACATCAATTATAATATACATGTACATTTTTTTCAAGCCTATATAATATCTACTTCTAGTTTATTTTCAATTTTGTTAACTATGGGGTGTTCATCACTGCAGTAATAATCATCAATGCCATGAAAGTTCAAACAGTTTCATAATTTTATATTGTGTCAAATAAACTCTAATTCACTTCGATGACTTGTATTAGGTAACAACGTCTTAGTACATTTTAGTAACTAAGTTTCAAAAATTGGAGCAGCATTTCTCGCACCTAAACTATATACTGGCGCAGTATCAAGAATAGAGTTGAAAATACTATGAAAATAATTATAACGATATTGAATAGAAACTGTCTGGTATATGGACATGTGCTGAAGATATCAGAGCAACAGACGAATTAATTCAAAGAGGTCACTCTGGTGCTGAAAAAATTCTAGAAGAAGCTCACTCAAATTATAGGCGCTTGGAAGGATTTATTGGATTTGGCTGCCTATCGCAGAAAATATTTAGAGGAAGCTGTCGAGTACCATCATCAACTATTTGCTGACGCATACGATATTTGGAAGTTAGACACTCTACGAATGGTATCCAGTGAAGATGTAGGCCGTGATGAAGGCCAGGCACAATCACTACTTTAAAACACAAAGATGTTACTAACTCAAAAATTACGGCAGTGTTATTGATAGTCTCCATCAGCAAGCAGATGCTTTAGGTCCTGAGGCTGCTAGCTCTCCAGAAGAATTTCAACGTTTAGTTTCCATTGACAATCGTTACAAAGAACTATTAGAATTGGTCAAACTCAAAAAAAACAACTTTTGCTTGACGCTTCTATCTCTGTATGAACTCCTATCGGAGATCGACGAAGTCAAACAATGGATCAGCGAAAAAGACGGAAGGTTGCAAACAACGATTCCAGCCAGAGACATCGAAGACGTGAACAGATCACTGTCAGGCAAAACTTACTTATCCAGAAATAGGCCGAGCTGCGTGAAAAAGCAAAAGCCAAACGCGAAAAACTCAATTTTTCTTATGAAGTGCAAACGTTCCACATCGAATGTCGCCACACGACCACTTGGATCGAAGACAAAATCAGAATTCTACAAGAAACTGACAGTTTGGAAATGGACCTTACCGGGATTAAGACTTTGTAACGGCCTCTTAGCGAAATGGAAAGAGATTTGGCCGATATCTAAGCCAAAGTGAATTCTGTCCAAAAAGAAGCTGACACCATGGAAGGTGAACTAGAGAACGCATCGTACAAATTCAAATTATTTGAGAGAGACTCAGGCAAATGCTTGAAGAACACGATGCCCATTGGATTTGCTCAGATTCCTTCGCAATTTGGATCACTTCCAAATTTGGCTCACCAGAACACGAACCGATATTGCTTCAGAAGACACTCCCAAAGCTTTTATCGAAGTTTTTCGATTACACAAAGTTGATGGAATAAGTTTTCATGATAGGTATGTTCACATCACATGAATATATCCATGATGTACCAATACACTGGCTTTTTTTACCTAGTTTATCATGGACAATTTATAAACAGACCTTAAAACCTACTCGACACATAGGGAGTAATAAGACGAATTAGCTTGTACCTACCCGGTTAAGGCGAATCGCACTGGTACTGCCCACTGGCGACTGGCGGCGTGGCCAGGAAAGGTGACAAAGTGGCATTTGCCCCCTTCCTCCAAAGGCCTTTAAATTTTATTATTAATTCCAAATTGAAATAAACAAAGAATCATTTCAAGTCCTACGTAAATATTCAAATACATACATTATAATATAAGTAAAGCTCTACTATAAATTCTTATCGAAATTTGTTTAAATGGCCGCATCCCCGCCATTAGAAGTTCCAAAAATACCGTGAAGGACCCAAAAATTTGCGGCGCTTTCCCTCCTGCAGCGCTTGCGGCGGAGCTGCAACTGCTGCAAGGATCACTTCCTGCAAATTTTCCCTCGCCCCAAGGCAAAATCCTGGCTACGCCAATGGTGCTGCTAAAGCCAAGTATAGTCGAGCTGCCGAAGATGCAAGAATTTTAATCATATGCAGGGACGATCAATGATCGAGCGTAGCGATCCTGCAGTGACATTGGTATCTTCCAACTGGTCCCATTTAAGTCTATGTGTCTAGTAGCCTAGTCCTATCTGTCTAATTGATTCTATTTATATTATTTTTTGGAGCCCGAGCCCCCATAGTAATTTTGAAATTCCGGCGCCTATGGTTGTTCAGAACATATTCTTCATTGAGATTGTTTGGACCGATTCTAAGCACTGTGCATTTTGACTCATTGAGTTTCATAGTCCAAGTTCTAGTCCATGCTTCAACATTATGGAAGTCTGCTTCTAGTTGTGCCACATTGAGGAATAGGGTTGGCACATAATTTTCCATCGTCCGCAAAACTTGTCATTTTTGTTCTAATACAATTAACAAGATCAAAAAGATACCTATGTTATAAAGAGCAAGTGGCCAAGAACCGATCCAAAGACAAATCCACTCCTCACAAGATGTTGTTTGGAAATTGTTCCATTGACTCGTACTTGGTAGTATCTTTCATATAGAAGATCCGTGGACTGTGATGAGTATCAGCAGCCTTTCCCGTATTCCAAACCAAAATGCTCTAATTTTCCAAGCAACAGGTTGCGTGGCACTTTATCAAAAGACTTTTCATAATCAAAATATATTAAAATCAGTGGGCTGAAGGATGTCATGGTCATGGTTTTCTGTTTAGTCATTAAAACTTTCAAGTAGGTTGATGCAGTGGAGTATCTTAATAGAAACCCTTGCTGTGATGGTGGCATAAAGTTGTTCTCAATGAAAAAAGCTATAAATTCCTCGACCATGACCTTTTCTAATGGGGTGTTGTGTTAGACTTATGGGTTGAAAATTTTCTGGTTTGTGTCACTCACCTTTTTTAAAGAAAGGATCACTACAGAGAGCTTCCATTCCTCTAGTTACCTACTCTTGCATTACCCCAGGGATTAGAGAACCAACAGATTCACTACAGTTTTGTAGCATAATGGTTAGTTTGGTATTTGGTATCCTATCTGGCCCTAAACTTGAAGCCTTTTTCATATTATTTAATGCTCTTTTGACTTTTTCTTCTGTGAATTCTATGGTCTCTATCGAGTTCCAGACTCTGGTATTTGCAGCGGGTGAAAGATGTAAAGTCCGTCAATTTTAATCTGATACTCTAAAAAAATGTGAAATGTGAGCTGGTGGCTCCTTACATTAGAACGCCAATGACCACCTGACGTCACACCTGTTTTTGCCATAATGCCATAAGCTTCATTCCTTCGCTCCTCACACGGAAAGTGTCAGATTAAAAACGACGAACAATAAGTGCTGCTGTTGGGTGAAGAATTTGTTGACACCTTAGAGTTGAAGTTCCTAGTTATATAATTGTAGATTCTTTTTGGTGAATCTGCTGTAACTAAGCCTTGCTCATATGGGTACTCTCCTAGCCTCACCGAGTTTTTGTTTAAGTGTGTTATTTTGGGTCATATAGGCCTGGTAGTTTTCGTCAGATTTGTCGTTTTTGTATTTATGCCAAAGTTTGCGTAGTTTTTTGCTGATTTGTTTGAAACGTGTTTGAATAATCCACGGCTTTTGATGGTTTGCCTTCACAGACTGCAATACTTCAATGGAATACATTGTTCTATTTTGCCCCATTTAAGATCATCTCAAAGCTTTCAAATCTTGTAAGGCCCATATGTTGGTTTCAGGATGCTGTCTAATATATTATGGTTGTTTATCTCATCATAGTTGGCTGTAGTATAGACATTTCTTCTTAATACTTTTATTAGTTGGTTTTGGTGGAAAGTGGAAGCCTAATATTATGTGCTTTTTAACAATGATTACTACATGATCGCTACCCCCAGGTGCTTCCAGATTTTAATTGAAAAATATTTTTCCGATCTCTGCACAAAAACAGATCCAACAGCAAGCTCTGATTGCTCTTATATCGTCTTGGGAAATTGATTCGTTGATGTGCATTGGTTTCTTGGTACATTTTCATAAAGTCTCGTGTTTTTTTGACACCAGGGTCCTTATTCTTGAAACAGGGGAGCAGCGTTCCCAGGAGTACGAGTGTTCTATCTTTGTTACTTATACTTTCATTTGCATATAATTGAGAAAGACGGAACATTCGTTCTCCTGGGAACGCTGCTCACTTGTTTCAACAATAAGCACCCAGGAACCTAACCTTGTCCAATTTTATCCACGCCACACGCCATTAAATTTTTGGCTAGGCGTTCTCTCTGTCTCTCTCCTTGATTTCTATTAGAGTGAGCTCAATCCTAGGATCAACTGCTTTATCTTCTAATGTTTTTATGGTGTCAACTCTTTTTTCAAATTTCTTCAATGCATCGGCATAGCTGACTCTAACAGGAATTTTCTAATCCACTTGTTAAAGTTCTTTTTTCAGTTATGTAGAACGGAAGCTAACGATGACAAAATCAATAGGCATCAAGCTTTGGAAGCTGAAATTGGGGCAAATAAAGAACCTTTATTAAATCTGCAACATGCTGGTAAACAGTTACCTGAAGAGAAACCTGAAAATGCTAGGGAAATTTCACTTAAAATCGAGGAAAAGGAGGACAAAGGAGAAGCACGAACGTCTGTTTGACGATAACCGCAAAGTACTCATCCATCAAACCTGCGACGACATCGAGAACGAATCATTGCAATTCAGGAAAGACGTGGAAGAAGAAATTTTATGGATTGCCGAAAAAATACCCCTAGCCAATTTCACGGAATACGGCAACAATCTATTCCAAGTGAAAATGCTACAAAAGAAAAATCAGTCGCTACAAACTGAAGTTGATCATCAAGAAATGCGCAATAATGTGGATGAGCAAACAAGAATTGTAGATGATGTTAGAAAACCAAGCTTAGATGAAACCCAGCGTTAGACATTTTTTGAAGAAACTTGATGAAGCTGTAGAAACTGTCTTTCTATGGCGCTGAAGGTCATTCTTTGGTTTGGCCGAAAAAGTGGCTGTACAAGAATCGGACTTAGGTAAATTATATGCTGGACACAAAGACTTGGCCCAAGAACGTCGCGCTAATTTAGACGAAGCTTTGCAACTCTTCCTTCTTAATCGAAATATAGGAGCAGATCTAGAACAATAGATAGCCGACAGGGAAGTATTAGCTTCATCTCACGAACGCTCATGATCATGTCACGCTGCTTTGGGAAAGATCCAAGGAATTTACATACGTTACTGAAACCATTGGCAGTGAAATTCCAATTAAAATGAGTGCCTGGAGACCAAGAGAAGAGAACGAGAAGATCCTGGATCAGAAGCATCCAGAGGGCATGTCCAAGACTAACAGGAGATTGGCAAGATGGCCAAAAACATAGTATGCTATACTGTACTGTGCTCAGAAGACAGAAATTGAAGGAAAAACTCTATTATTTATATGTTTTATCAAACTGCTCTCCAGCAATCCGTCCAAACTACCAATCGTTGGTGGACTTTTTCTAAGGACTCACTTCAGACTCTCATATATTTCTTTTAGAGTGGTTATTCTGGCATCAGTGATTGAAACATTCTGAAACATTCACAACGACTCCAATTTGAAGTAATTGAATTTCAAGTTATAGTGGAAGCCAAAACCTATTCTGACTCTATACTTACGGATTGACTACACTTTGTTCCATAAGATCAATTTTGTTCTGTACTATAACCGTAGGGATTTCACCGCATTCGTTTTCAACCTGAAAAAGCCACAATTAATTTTTACAGGGTAGACATAAGTAATAATTTTCTCGGTTGGGTAGCTATACCTACACCACACACGTAATTTAACAGAAGCTACGTTCCGGAACATTGCACGCTATATGAAGATGCCTGGTGTATGTATGGGTTTTTAATTTTAATTACCTTGAGTTTCCATGAATGTGCGGCTTCGAATGAATCCCTATCGGTAGTGGAAAAAGCTAAAACGCAAGCTTGAGCACCTCTGTAGTAGGCTTTGGTGATGGCGTCGAATTCCTCTTGTCCCGCAGTGTCCCATAACATCAAACGGACATCTTCACCATCGACTCTATAAATAATGATCAAACCAATTAATGTTTTAGTTTAAAATAATAAATCGTCCAATGCCAAAAAAAGCAGGCTACTTTAAATATGATTAATTAGGCATTCGGATTTTGGCAAGCTCGTTTTTCTTTGTAGTTGACGGTGACTTTCAAAAAACATTTAAACATAAATTACTTACTCGATTTGTCTTTCTAAAAAATCGACTCCAATAGTTTTTTTATAGTCTTTGGTGAAGGTGCCCTTGCAGTAACGTTGAATCATGCTGGACTTGCCTACACCTCCATTACCGACGATCACCACCTAAAAAAAAGTTGATGAATTTGGGAAAAAATTTGTATGGCAATTGTTACCTTGAGGGCGACCTCTAGCTCTTCTTCCCGCATCTCAGACACGGTGCCCAAAAAGGGCACCAGAGCTCATGGCCCTATCCCTCGATGCGGTACCCACGTATTTACCATCGGGCGCCTTGAAAAAAAAAAGTTTTCAGTGTAATAATTAATTATTAAGGTAGAGCACAAAATCATGCACACGTAACAAAATAATGTTTCCGGTTCATATTTTTAAAGGTAGTTTTACTATTTATAAACCAAAACTAAATTTTGGAACATTTTTACGATGTTTTTGTAATTAGCACACAGAAAACTTAAATCGGAAGGTGTTTACGCTTCACGTGCTATTTTTACTGTTTAATTCGAAAATCGTAGGTTGAATGTTTATATAACTAATTCAAAATTAAAAATAACAAGAATATTTTGGATATAGTAACCTAGAACTTCACATTTTGAATAGAAATTATTGAATGGTGATGATGCTAAGAGGAAATTTATATTATGTAAGTATTTTACCTCTACTTCCAAATCTACAAAAGATAACTTTGGTACAAAATATTTCTCAATACCTACTACTATCATGTCTAATTAAATTCAATTTCCTTGAATCATAAATCCATTAAAAGCGCATTCTACAGATAACGGGTTCCAGGAATACCTATAATGTCTGAATGATAGTAATTTTCATATCAAAAGCGCACTCTCATAATATAGCGCGCCGATATTTTAATCTGTTTCCGGGGTATTAATTTGTTCAAGGCTGCATTCCAGAAGGAAATATGTGTGCTGTTTGATTAGCATTAATAATTGTAAATTGAAAATATAGATGGATTGTTAAAAGAAGAATTTCATGTTCAAAAACTTGTTAAAGGCGCAATAAAGATGAAGATTTTTTTTTCCACATCACAAAGTTTTCTCAAAATTTCTTGACTGTCTAGTAGGTAGTAGTTTGAATCTTCTTTGGAAAAAAACTAAATTATCTCTGACAAAAATGCTACACATTTCAGTTTCATCAGTCCACATAACTTTCAGTGTATAACCTTTCGCGACAATCGTTGCGTATATCTACCATTTGATTTTACAGTATTCAATGTATGTTCTAGTATTCACAGGATTCATCAACGTCTCATGGTTTCATTTTCTGCAAAATAATTCATTTCCGCCTTCCATATGGTCTTCATTATCCCTAATAGCACAAAAAGTGGGACGTTTTCTTGAAGTCCGTTTATCGTCGAATCGTCCGAAATATCTTCATGAATCGTCCATATAAATTTAAAGTTATGGAACCTTTTTTTTGGGAACTACTGTTGTAGGGATGTTTTTAAAACCAACAATAGCAAACGTCCAATAAACCTTTTTCCAATGTAGGTACCTAGATGTCGGTGTCAGAGTGTTTTTAAAAAAGGTAGTTATAGAAAGAACGTTATTTAGGCGTTTGCTTTAAGTTGTTTCGGAAACCTCCGGTAGAAACGATATTAAAGAACCTCTTGTATTATAGTTTCGTAAAAGTACCAATGTTTGCAGTAAGCCATGAAAGAGATGTTTTATAAAGGGTTCTGTTGGTCGTTTTCAAGCACACCATTGAAACCATATATTTCAGATAAACATATATGTATATTAATGGACGTCCAGAAATCAGATCGACTTAGTAAAAGACGTTTTTAAAACATTAATTTTCGTCGTCGACATCATGTCGACATCTTGTTTGTAACTGTGACATATGCACAATCAAAAAGTCCATTCGATGTTCTTGGATATTTTAAAAGATTTCCAGTGGATGTTCTAAAAACCAATAAAAAAACGTCTATTCCCTACGAGCGTGCCCAAAGTAGTACTTTTCCGCACGCATTTCCGTGCGCAAAGCTACACTTTTTCGCACTCCGTGCTCATCTCCGTTGACTGCGTTTCTGTCAGCAACATCTATACAAACACTAATGATTCTGGGTGACATAGAAATTGCAAAAATGTAAATATATTTTATTAATATTTTGAAAACTAATTGGGTTAAATATGAATAACAATCGATGACATTTTCAAACAAATTTATTGAAAGGAATTTTTAAAAATTCAATAGTGAGTTGCGCCTCCACGTAAGTTTTGACATTCTGTAACTCTTCGTGGCATTGCTGCGAATCAGATGATGGATATCATCCTGTGGTAGGTTCTTCCAGATTAATCTTACCTTATGACGTAGACGTTGTACATACAACAATGTTTCTGACCATAAGGGATAAACACGTTCCTTGTACGTGATTACTTCATTGATACCTACTAGTGATAAATGATGTGATCTTCAACATAAATAGTTCTCTTCACAATTGTCTTTGAAGTATTCTTATTCACTTCTCCCAGTCTTTTCTTGCGATAGAAAATGTCTTCTGGTGTTGTATTTTGATCAAAGCTGGTGCTCATATAATATGGTCAATCAGATAATCAGATCTGTTTCTGAGAATTTCTCTGAATTTTTGCTTTGTTCCCATGCTTCTTGTTACTTTCCAGTTCTCGTCTCATTTTCTTGAGGAGTGTGGCAAGCTGTCAACTGATGCTCGATATACCATCTATATAGATCTAAAATATACCTTCCATTGACCTAATATGTTTGAATTAAAAAGCTAATTATTTATCCGATCTTCTTTCTAAATAATAGAATATATTATTTTCCCAATTTGTCATACGACTGAGAAAAACCACCTATTTAAAATATTATTTCTTCAAATATTAAATTCTTGAAAACGTTCACTATAGAGAAGCAAATGATAAATATTGCAACCATGTATGCGCTGTCAAGTAGGGGCGACCGAAGACACCGCGCCACAGAAGAAGGTACCGGAGGGTAGATGAGAGACTAGAGAACAAGCTTTTCTATCATTGTTCATTATTCAATTTTTATTTTGTATTGAACTGATTGTTCAATCCAATTTGTGATTAGTTTGTGTGTCATAAGGAGCATGCACAGGTCAGTTGATTAAATTTTATTTGTTTTTGAGAGTTTAATCTTAATCTATACAAGTATTATTCTTTTCATTTAATGTTATTTTTTTGTTTGTTTATAACATTTTTTATAACATGTGCATTGTTCATGTATTTAACAAAAATCGTTTCATACTGTAAACAGCGCAGATAGAAAGTAAATTAAAATCTAAAGAAATTTTGTGCTTTCTTTTGTGCTGGGATTTTGATTTTTGGTATTCAGAGCGTAAATTAGGGCCTTGTTGAATCTAGTAACATTTTCCTACCCTGACGAGCGAATTTCCTGGCAAACAAATTGAAAAATCAATCTAGAGATATTGGCTCAAAATAACAACTATAGCTGAGTAGCCTCCCGTACGGGACCTCAGTACCTGCTGGTGAAACTGATTAACTAACCAAAACTCTTAAGTATCAAATATTGGTAGTGTTGATTGAATGCAGTGTGTGGAATTAAAATTTTAGCACAAGGACAAAGGACGGTATCTTCCTCTTCCACTACTGGGAAGGTTTAGTGATTTTTTATAAACCGCAAAGTATAGAATTAAATTTATTTGAATTACTTAGTGTCTATCCAGACAGTACACAGACATCTTATGGCCATTTACACGACTATCACTTAAGGGATATTTAATTTAAGTGGAGCTTTGAATGTTGCTATTGTTTCTACGAGAGTCACATTCAAAGCTCAACTTGTATTAAATATTCCTTAAGTTATAGCGGTGCAAATAGCCGTTAAAGACGTCCCTAAGATGTCCACAAATAACATTCAAGGCGTCTTTTAGACGTCTGCTTACGTCTTCAAGACGTCTTAAATACATCGTATGTTACAAAACCCAACGTCTGCCTAAAGACGTCTTCAGGACTAATATTTTATTATTATAACTTATTTTATATTTTTTAATTTTTGTCTATCCCAAACGGTAGGGTCTAAAATTCTTGATTTCTTTAAACGAAAACATACGAAAAATTCATTTGGAAGAAAACTATTTGAAGAGACAGGACTGAAAATTAAAAAACAAATCAAGAGCCTGAAATTCTAAAATACAGGAATAATGAGAATTCAAGAACTTTGGGAAAAAAAATTTCAACAGCCAAAAGAAAATTAGGAATTAAGAATAAAGAAGTAAGGAAAAATCAAGAGCATGGAATAGAAAAAATTACAAAAATTCAAGAATTTGAATTGAAAGAGGAATATTTTCTTTCAATTTTTATCTATTCCAGGCGTTAGGCTCTCTGAAATAATTCTGAGGTTTCTCTAAAGTGTGCTTGAAGAGTTGTGGAGCAGTTTTTCAGTAATTTCTAAATTGGGAAGTCTGCTCCTTTGAAGGATTCATGTTAGATTTGAAAATTTTCTGACATATTTTTAAGTATTTGAGAGCCCTATTGAAGTTCCAAAGTAAAGTTGAATTGGTTTAAAAGCATTCTAAAACATTTCTAGTTCTAAATTGAATCGTAATTGTTCTAAAATATCTCTGAAGTTTCTAAATTGTTCCAAAATGCTCCATTCTAATAATGGTTCTGAAGTTTCCAAAATGTTTTGAATCGCTACAGAATGTTTTTGGAGATTATGAATTGAATTTTAAGTGTTTTGAACTTCTGAAAAGGCTTATTATTAAAGTTCTAAAGCGTTCTGTAGCATTCTACATGGTTTCAAGTAACTTCTAAAATTGAATGAAAAACGAATTCTGTGGGAAATTTTCGTAGATATTTTAAAGACGTTCTTACGATGTCCACCACATGACATTCAAGATGTCTTGCTCACATCTTTAAAGCGTCTTAAAGACGTCGTATGTTACAAAACCCAACGCCTTTCAGACGTCTGACTATAAAGACGCCTTTAGAACTAAAGCATTCTAAAGACGTCTTTAACGAAAATCCTAAAAGAAGTCTTTGAATCTCTTAAATTTTTAAATATGAAACATTATTCACTTAGGCCTGGTTGTACGAAATAGTGTGGCTCAGTTGTCCTTAAGATGTGAATTTAGGATATCTTATTATGGAAGTTTTTTTTTTTTTTTTTTTGGTCTTCGGACGTTTAGATGTATTGCAGAATGCAGACCTAAAAAAGACGTTAATAAGACTTTGTGTGCTGTCTGAGTCTGGGTAGGTTCCTGCCCAAATGTTTTTCTTGTCATATGTGTTTTTGCTCCCTCTCAACCAAAATATTAGGATTATTATTTCTTCCATTAAATGTAGTTTTTCATTTTGCACAAGAAAAAATACTTATTTGAGTTTTTTTCAGATGTTTTGAAAAATTCCATGTTGCCAAATGAAATAAATGTCAATAACTTTTTCATTTTTGAGCTAATGGTGTTGAAATTTCTTCCAATATAGTTAACTTTTGATTCTCCATAAAAAAGTTCTCTTGAGTTTTTTTGATTTAATGCATATTTTACGAAATATTCAATAAATTCCAAAAAAATCAAGACGGCGGCCATTTTTTTCCAAGTTCCACCAATGCGACAAAGTGCGATTTTTGACGAATTCATTAGGATTCCATTGACTACTCATTTCTGCAGAGATCAGTTTGTTACTAACTTTTTCTACCCCAACCACCTATTTTGACTAGCCTAACGACGTCATCTCTGCTTCTCATCTCAGAAAATACCTAAATATGTTGGTACGTTGGTGTCGGTAGTGAGAAAAATCAACCTTCGGAAGTAGAAATAATCGAGCTTCAATGCAATCTTCATTCCATAATATCCATAGAATGATTCCACTGGGTTCTAGATGTTATTATGCAATATTGCTTCCTAACATTTCCCTTTATTTTTATGAGAGTTAGAAGATTATCTGTCTTAGTTTAGTTTCATTTCTAGCTTAATTAAATTGCCCACTCTAAACCCGGTGAAAATTGCATTTTAACTGGTAGCCCGGGAGTTAGACGGATATGAGTATGCAACATGTGAGAACCACATTTTATTAATGGATAGTAGCTGAGAAAAGTTCAAAGATATTAATCCGCTCCTTGCCGGTCCGCATTCCAAAAGTTCTCGTGGCTAGTATAGGTACCAGTTCTGATCTTTTAACTACTTTGTTCAGATGTTTGTTCCAAGTTAATTTTGAGTCTATGATTACCCCAAGATATTCTTCGTCCGACAACGTATCTGGGTTTCCCTGAAGGTAAAGAGGTCCAAGTCCCTCCATTTTCCTTCTTTTGGTAAAGGGGACAATTGTCGATTTAGTGGCACTAATTTTCAACCCTACAGTCTCTGTCCACCTAGAGACCACTGTTAGAGCCTGCTGTATGCAATCTCTAACTATATGGTTGCCTTTTCCCTGAGATATTATGACCAAGTCTGCATATCCCACTACTTAATGGTTGTTGTTCTTCAGTAGCTCTATCAGCTCATCCGTCACCAGATTCCACAACAGGGGTGACATGGGCGAGCCCGGATGGAAAGACAAAAAACCAAATAGACTTTATACTGACACATCAAAAACATGTAATCCAAGATGTAGACGACTTAGGCTCATCTGGCAGCGACTGTAGAATGGTAAGATGTACAATATCCATAAATAGCAAATTAAAAAGAGAAAAGAAATTCAACTGCCCCCAAGAGAAATTAGGGACACACACCAGTAGAACACAAAAAAACAGAATTTGCAACAAAATTAACACAAAAACTGGAGAAAGACCCCAAAAACCCCCACAAAGACATAAATCAAATTAATTAAAGAATAACGAAAACAATGAAAGAAACAGCAAAAAATATCATTGTAGGTAGGCTAGAAAAAACAAATACTGCAGAAGAGAGGAGAACTCATAAAACAAGGAAGAAAAGATACCTACACCAGAATACAGAGAGATTAACAAAATAGCCAGAAGGAAAAACTGATAGAACAACAACTTAAACGTTTTCAAAAGAGAGAACGCACACAAAAGAGAAATTACAAAGTTGATGGAGACAATCAAAAAAACTTTATATGGAAGACAGAGAAGAAATATTGCGTGTGGCGGAAAATTTCTATAAGGAACTAACTATACGACGCAAAAAGCAACAACAAAAATAACAAACAAGAAACCGAAACATCCAAAATTCTAAATGTTGGAGAAACGCTAAAGAAAGCAGGAGGATACCTTGTAAAACAACTGAAAACATTTTTCAATAAAAGTCTAACAGAGGGGAAAATACCACCTGACTGGGAGACTGCCATCGTCGTTCTGGTACACAAAAAAGTAGACCCATCAAATCTGACTGGTACTCGGACTGGTAGTACACATAAGTAAATACAAATTAAAATCTAAAGTTTAGACACAACGTTTAATCGACAATAAGGAACAATTTCAAAGATCACACTCCCTATAATTTCTGTTGTAATTGCAAATCATTCTGTCCACAAAAGCTGTGAATCCATAATTTGTTCTGTGCGGGTGCTCATAGAAAAGTTGATGTTGTCTGGTTCGTCTAATGGGGCCCAAAGTAATATTGATTCCAATAATGTGCTGCAATTTATCCAATTACTCAGGATTTTGTAAAGAATAATGAGTAGGGCGTGTTTCCGTCTCTGCTCGCAAGGCTCTTCATCTCACACAGCAACAGTCTGGTTTCATAAGGTATTCCAGATGAAGGAAAGCGGTGTTTATATAGTAGGTATTTTAGAAACCTGTTTTGGACGTTCTCTAGTCTATTAGTATGGATGGTATAATGTGGGGACCAGATGATGGAGCAGTTTTCAAGAGTGCTGCGTACAAGGGCGTTGTAGAGACATGTAAGTGCCTTGGTGTCGTTGATGTGTTTGGTATTTCGCATAATGAAGCTAAGCAATCTGCAGCTTTTGACAATAATATTATCGATGTGCATTTTGAATATCAGTTTTTGATCGAACGTTACTCCAAGGTCGTTGATGAATTCCACATTATCAATTTGTTGACCACCAATCTTATATGTTGACATGTGAGGAGATGTACTCTTGTGGCATGTTATTGATTTGCATTTAGATATGTTGATTTTCAGTAGGTTTGAAGAACACCAAGAGGCAAATCTGTCGAGATCTGGTTGCAGTGGGTTGGAAACTCCTTTCCTAACATTATAAAATTTCAGGTCATCAGCATACAGGAGAAAGTGCGAGGAATGGAAGCAGGCGGAAATATCGTTGATAAATAACAGGAAAAGAACAGGTCCCATGTGTGATCCTTGAAGAACACCCGAAGTGACCTTGACGTTTTTAGAGAAGTAGCCACACACTTCAACCCTCTGGGTTCGATATCCAAGATATGATTTGATCCATGCTAAATAGTTTCCAGAAATACCAATTTCTGATATTTTTTTTATAAGTAGATGACACACGTGATTATGCTGAAAGAATTACTTCAAGAATTGTTAGCTTCCAGTTGAGAAGTGAACATATCAAAAACAGAGTTTATGAGCAAACAGATAGGGACACAATAACCATAGAAAACCAACAGGTGAAAAAAGTAAACTCCTATATACAAGTATCTTGCTTGGCAAAGTCAATCAAGGTAATCACAAAACTGAATCACAGCTCTCTGTCTTACTATCGACTCACGGTCGACTATTGACTTATTCAATTCAATTCATTAGTGATTCTTGAATATATTCACAGAATTAATTTCTGCAGGATGAAGAAGCAATAAGCAAGGATCCATCGTATATTTCGTAATTGGAAAATATACTTATTTCTTCCAAGACTGAAGAATATCAAAATATTATTACTGCAAATTATTCCTGATAATAAAGTTCGAAAACCATAAACATTTCAAAACCAGTGTAGTAAAATTTTTAAACTTAATAAACGAAATAAAGAAAAACATCCTCCTTGGGCAGGTTAATTAAGAAACCCGAGACGCCATATGGTAACCGAAACATTCGAGTGCCCGCGAGTAAATAAATGCGGACTCGAATTCGTTTAATATTCAAGAGTTACCTCCGAAAAAATAAAAATTTCAATGATTAATGGACAGACAATTTATTCCGCCTCTTTTTCTCTGATTTTAGAAGGTTTCTGCATTAATTTTAGTTTCTAATTATTGGTGGCTAATTGGCTAGATATTATATTTTTATATGGTTTTACATAAAATTCAGGTAATTAAAATTGATTAGATTCTAATTTATTCGTTTTTGCATTGTCGTTTTTGAAGATATTTACATGCATTTTACATGGTTTCACTAATGCAAGTTTTCTCTCTTATATTCTCTTTATAGAATAGGAATAGAGTGTCTGTCCCAATACTCCAGGTCTTCCTCCAGGCTCTATACTGTCACGATATCGTTCGCCAGGCTGTCAAGAATCGATGGTGGAAATACTAGAATCTAGCGAATTATTCTACTTTTATCTGGAAAATTAGATTATCGTGTGTATTCTAGATTTTACAGGAAGAGACTTAGGGATATATAAGAAGGCCAGCATTGGTTTGTAAGTTAGTTTCAGTTCGACTGTGATACGATTTAAATAGTGATTGTAAAGAGTTTAATTGTTGAGTTAGTAATTAGTGTCAGAGTGTTTTGTTAAGTGGAATAAATTATTGCTGTGTTAATTGGACTTTGATTTTTGGAATAAACGAAACGAAGAACGAACCCAAGATTTTTGTCAGCAGGCAACCTAAAGCCGCGACATTGGTGCCAAGAAGTGGGATATAAAGGACTGCAGAGTGAAATCCAATTGCGGAAGTGTGGGGACACTAGTGTAGTGTAAAAACTGAACACTAAGTGAACACTGGGACAGTTAGTGCAGTGCAAACAGTGACAATCACAAAAAGAGACTCAACCTATCGTGTGAATTACCCCGGAAGTGACTCTATACCCGATTTAGACTGTGATAGTGAATCTTCGAGTGAGTTCTAGAAAATTCTATTTGGAATCTAAGGGAGATATCGAATTTGAGACTTCGCCGACGTATTCGGAACATCAATCGTCATTCAGAAGAAGTTTTTCGAGGAGTTTCGGGAAAATTCTAGAACATTCTATTTGGAAACCAAGGGAGATATCGAAATTGTGACTTCACCAACGTGTTTGCTGTATCAATCGACATCTAGAAAAGAAGTTTCAAGAAAATTCCAGAACATTCTATTCTAGAATAAGGCAAGTTATCCAATTTGTGACTTCACCGGCGTGTTTAGAACTTCGAGCAAAGACCAGAAAAGATATTTGAAGAAAGTTCGAGGGAAATTCTAGAACATTCTGTATATGCCTATCACAAGACAACAAGCCAAAATGGACGAACAAAAAGTTGAAGAACTCCTGCGCAAAATGTTGGAACTTCAAGAGACCAAACGACAACAAGAAAAACAAGACGAAGAAGCCAGACGACAACAAGAAAAACAAGACGAAGAAGCCAGACGACAACAAGAAAAACAAGACGAAGAAGCCAGACGACAACAAGAAAAACAAGACGAAGAAGCCAGACGACAACAAAAAAAACAAGACGAAGAAGCTAGACGACAACAAGAAGAGGCCAGACGACAAAAAGAAAAACAAGAAGAAGAAGCTAGGCGACAACAAGAACGGCAAGAAGACCTTGGAAAACTACAGAAGATATTCCAAACCATACAAGGAACTGTCGCTAACCTAGACCAGAAGATTGAAAAAGTTAAAGACGATGTGCAAGAAGTTAAACACGACGTCCAGGAAGTAAAAACTGAAGTCAAAATCGATGTTCAAGAAGTTAAAAACGACGTTCAGGGAGTAAAAGCTGAGGTCAAAGCCGATGTTCAGCAATTAAGACAAGAAGTTGGGGACCAAGTTCAAGCACTCGAAGATAAGATGCGTAGATTAGAAATATAGTCCATCAATCCAGCTAGTGTTGGAGCATTCCCCAGTATGAAGATAAAACCACCAACTTTTGACGGTTCTACGTCCTGGACCATGTATATTCGACAATTTGAAGCTGCTGCAAATATCAACGGATGGAACGATCAAGAAAAAGCTACAGCACTGATAGTGGCGCTACGAGGACCAGCCTTAGACCTTCTTCAGTCCATTCCTTCAGTCTACCAACAGAATTACCAGCATCTAAGTCAGACGTTGGAATTGCGCTTCGGAGATCATTACAGGCAAGAAGTATTTAGAACTCAAGTCAAATCAAGAATTCAAAAACCCGGCGAGAGTTTACAAGAATTCGAATCAGAAGTTAAAAGGCTAGTGAGTTTGGCGTTTCCTGCAGCTGGGGAAGACATGCAGGAATGGATGGCAGTATCTGCATTTATTGATGGTCTCAGAGATTCGAAGATCCAGGAAAACCTGAGAATGTCCAAGTTCAGACAGAGTAGCGAAGCTCTTGTCCGAGCATTAGAACTAGAAGCAATCTTTGGTGCCTCGCGACCCAGAATACGAACAGTGTCCATTGAGGACCCAAAAGATAAACAGATGTCAAAAGAGGATGGTAGCTTCGAAACTAAAATGAGTAATTTCATGGAGAGAATGGAGAAACTGTTACTAGAAGATAGAAAAATGGTAAACGATTCCAGACAAACACCAACCCGGAGAAACCGAATAGTGCTACCGGTGCCATAAACTTGGGCATATTCAACGAGATTGTAGAGTGAGGATGTCCTCTCCATCAAGGGATCGTTTCCAACGCTTTTTGAGATCGAGAGACGCCAGCCCTAATAACAGACAGGGAAACGAGAACTAACCAGTATGGAGGGGTGAATGCTGGTTAGTAATGATGAAACAACCCTGGAGTTGTTTACATAAAATCATTGGGCAGTCATTATAGAGGTTTAACATTCGAAAGACAAATTAATGGAGAATTGAAAACTATCACTTTTGATACGGGTGCTGAAGTTTCCATAATTAAAAGAACATTAGTCAAGTCTCGGGCAATCCAACCGCTCACTAGAAACCTGTCACTACGAACAGTCACCGGCGAATCTGCACCAGTTCAAGGAGAAGCTATGGTTGAGCTCACTTTTGGATCTACCACCTTCAGGCACAAAACATTAGTCGCCGATATAGAAGAAGATTTTATTTTGGGAATGGATTTGATCGGCCAACATGGTTTCTCTTTTGATCCTTCCATGAACATCCCTAAAATTGGTAATGAAGAAATTGTCCTAACAACACAAGAAGAATCCGATGCCGTTAAGATCCTGGCCACAACCCCAGTGAGGATTCCTGGAAGTACTGAGAAGATCATTTGCGGAAATTTAGAAACAAACCCTGGGTGCTGCGTTGGGCTTACACGTAATTTCATTGGAGATAAACCAGAAAGATTTCTGATAAGAATTGCCAATGTTTCTTCCGAAACAGTAAGAATAAAAGAAGGAGACATTATTGGAGCTCTCGAACCAGTGAAGCAAATATCGAACTGTGACCTACCAGATAAGCGACATTTTGTGAAATCCAAATTAGATACAGACACCTTGATGCAGACCTTGGCGAAATCATGGAAACATCTCGATCCAGATAGACTTCAAGAAGCCACAGATTTCATTTTGAAAGAAGCAGACGTATTTGTGATGGACAATCAAACCGGACGAACCAGCTTAATTCAACACAAAATTGATACTGGATTGGCACACCCAATTAGACAACCACCACGACGTATGCCAGTAGCGAAGCAACAGGAAGTGGAAAACCAAATTGATAAAATGCTTCAAGAGGGAATCATTGAAGAGTCAAATAGTCCATGGTCCGCGCCAGTAGTATTGGTTACGAAGAAAGATGGGAGTCTTAGATTTTGTGTGGACTACCGAAAGCTTAATGACGTCACCAAGAAGGACAGCTTCCCTCTCCCAAGAATAGATGATACACTAACAACTCTATCGGGCTCCAAATGGTTTTCCACCTTGGATCTCAAAAGTGGATACTGACAAGTGGCAATACATGACGATAACAAAGAGAAAACTGCTTTCAGTACCGGAAGCGGGCTATACCAGTTTAATGTAATGCCTTTCGGATTGTGTAATGCTCCAGCTACGTTTGAGCGACTGATGCATCTTGTTTTGCGAGGCCTTACATGGAGAACTTGCCTGGTATATTTGGATGATGTCATGATTATGGGAAATTCGTTCCAAGAACATCTCAATAACCTGAAAGAAGTTTTTGACCGCTTCCGGAATGCCAACTTGAAACTCAATCCAAATAAGTGTTTCCTATTTCAAAAGAAAGTGGAATTCTTAGGTCACGTGGTATCTGAAGAGGGCATACAAGTTATGGAAGGAAAAATAGATGCTGTCAGGGACTGGCCAAAACCACGCGACAAACATGAACTAAGGAGTTTTCTAGGATTATGTTCTTATTATCGAAGATTTGTGGAAGGATTCGCCAAAATAGCTGCTCCACTTCATCGATTAACAGAAGAAAAATCAACATTCAATTGGACCCAAGAATGCGATTCCGCATTTAGAAAATTGAAAGGAGCATTATGTACGAGCCCAGTGTTGTCCTATCCTGATCACAAAGGCATGTTGATTTTGGACACAGATGCAAGTAATACCAGTGTAAGAGCTGTCCTTTCACAATTCCAAAACTCACAAGAACATGTCGTGGAGTACTACAGCAGAACATTATCAAAGCCGGAACGAAATTATTGTGTCACCAGAAGAGAGTTGCTTGCCATAGTAAAAGCAGTCGACCATTTTCATAAGTATCTCTACGGACGCAAGTTTCTAATTAGAACAGAACACGCAGCTCTAAAATGGCTTTTAGAAATGAAAACTCCTGAAGGACAGCTTGCTAGATGGATTGAGAAAACGATGAATGTAGGCCAGAATGGAGGGAAGTGTCAAACAAGAGCTTGATTTACAAAGCGTTGTGGGCCCAATGGAACTCTCTGGCCGTAGAAAATGGTTTGCTCAAAAGAGTTTGGGAAAGTGCCGATGGGAAATCCACTAAGAGCCAACTGGTTATCCCAAAAGACCGAGTGGAAGATGTATTAAAAGAAATACACGACGGAACCTCAGGGGCACATTTCAGAGTTAACAAGACTTTGGACAAAATTCGCGAACGTTTTTACTGGCTTCACTACCATGAAGACGTTAAAAGCTGGTGCCGAAAATGCGACATCTGTGCTACCAGTAAAGGCCCTAAACTAAGATCTCGGGGGCCCATTAAACAGTACAACGTTGGTCTTCCATTTGACAGAATAGCGATAGATGTAGCAGGGCCGTTCCCAGAGTCAGAGCGTGGTAACAAATACATCTTAGTTATCATGGATTACTTCAGTAAATGGCCAGAAGTTTTCGCTATTCCCAATCAAGAAGCCATCACTGTTGCCGAGGTGCTAGTGGACGAAGTTTTTAGTCGTCATGGTGTGCCACTAGAGTTACATTCAGACCAGGGACGAAACTTCGAATCTGCCATCTTTAAGAAAATTTGTGAGATCATGGGAATCCGTAAGACCAGGACAACACCTTTACATCCACAGTCTGATGGCATGGTAGAACGATTTAATAAGACCATAGAGGAACACCTGACAAAAGTGGTCGCAAAGAACCAGCGTGATTGGGACAAACACTTGCCTCTGTTTTTAATGGCTTATAGAGCAGCTGTTCACGAGTCAACAGGTGAAAGTCCTGCCAGTATCGTCTTTGGAAGAGAACTCAGGTTACCTTGCGATTTGATGTTTGGGATACCTGAAGAAGAACGGAGAGAAATCCGAGATTATGCCGACGAAGTAAGGGCACGACTTCTGGGTATCCATGATTTTGCTCGGGAATATATTCAACTAGCCAGTGACCGAATGAAGACCAGATACGACTTGAAGGCCAATTCGGTCGGATTTCAAGAAGGTGATTTAGTGTGGTTGTATAACCCAGTAAGGAAGAAAGGAGTATCACCGAAATTGTCTTCAGCAAGGGAAGGACCCTATAGAGTAATCAAGAGGATCAATGATTTGGTTTATCGAGTCCAGCGCAACACCAGGAGTAAGATGAAAGTTGTACATCTGGACAGGTTGGCGAAATATCATGGGCGTGAAGTTGATCGGGACGATCAACCTTAAGAGGAGGGCAGTGTCACGATATCGTTCGCCAGGCTGTCAAGAATAGATGATGGAAATACTAGAATCTAGCGAATTATTCTACTTTTATCTGGAAAATTAGATTATCGTGTGTATTCTAGATTTTACAGGAAGAGACTTAGGGATATATAAGAAGGCCAGCATTGGTTTGTAAGTTAGTTTCAGTTCGACTGTGATACGATTTAAATAGTGATTGTAAAGAGTTTAATTGTTGAGTTTGTTAATAAAGTAATTAGTGTCAGAGTGTTTTGTTAAGTGGAATAAATTATTGCTGTGTTAATTGGACTTTGATTTTTGGAATAAACGAAACGAACAACGAACCCAAGATTTTTGTCAGCAGGCAACCTAAAGCCGCGACAATACGTTAAGCAGCCCAATGAACTATACGCTAGACATTTACTTGTTTCAAGAAAACAGCAGGTTAGTGAAAACATTGATCAGTATTTACAAACTTTAAAAATGTTAAGCAAGGAATGTAATGGGAATTGGAAAGCAGTCACTGCAGAAGAAAATAAGAATGATTTCATTAGAGATTCTTTTATCAATAGACTTATATCAAAAGAAATACGACAACGTCTTCTCGAAAGAAATACATTAACACTTGATGAAACAGTTGCCCTGTCAAGAGCTCTTGAAGATGCTAGAAAACACTCTGAATCATATGGTGCTAACTATCAAGTACTGAATGCGGTAAATTCCAAAATTGTCAATGAGAATCTACAAGAAAAATCAGAAGTATCGTCTGCTGCAGTTGGCAAAACATCGCAGAAATACTATTTTTGTGAAAATAACAGGCACATGAATCAAAAATCAACTGTATTCCAGCTGAATCT